TTTAATCTACGATATATTAAAGAGCCAACACTTGACTATCTTTTAATTAAGCTACAGTTTTAGTACAGTTTAGTATTCATAAATTAGGTAAAGGGATATTTAGGGCTTATTAGAGAGTATAAAGAATACAAAAAAGACTGTAATCCTTTAATTTGAAGTATATTATAGAGCTAACACTTGACTATCTCTTAATTAAACTACAGTTTTAGTACAGTTTAGAACTCATAAATTAGAAAGAGCCAAGAACAATCTACCTTTTTTCGGTTTTTATTACTAGATACCTCAGTTCATCTAAATCGAACTCAAACCTTTCCTGACTTATCTCATTTACCCTTGATTTAACCATACATTTATTCCCTGCCAACCTGTGCCCCTTATTTCCACCTTAAGGCTTTATTTCTAACCCCTGCCAACCCTCTTTTGTGGCCCGCCCCCTCTTTTCCCCTCTTTTCGCCTCTTCTCGCCCCGCCAGTGACATTTTTATGCCTCTTTGCCCGAAGGACAGGGACAGTCGTCCCCCATTTCTTTTCATTTGGTTTCATTTCATTTCGTTTCGTTTACGTTTGTCATTCATTCTGGTTCATTTGCTCGATTGTGAGTCATCGTCATCATGATCATCGTCATCATCATTATCAGGTTTATCAGCGGGGCTGGAAAGTCGTCACCTTGCCGGATAAAAGTTGTTGACCCACGTTGGCCTACCCCCTTCTCTTTTGCCACTCGAGGGTGTCCTGCGATTTCAAGAGCCCCCAAAGACAGAGCATCGCTGCTGGGCAGGAGCACTTAACCCTAATTCCTGCAACTCTGACACATCCACAGAGATCCACAGACAATGGCCACATTAGCTTTGCCGTTGCCGTTACCTTTTCCTTTGCCTTTGTCAACGTTGAAATGAAAATGAGCAAAATGCATAATCGAAAAAAATCATTGAAGCGTAAATGCTTTGTAACAGGATACGGGAATGGGAAAGAGATGGGGTGGGTGCTTCAATGGGGTGGACACTTATGGCCAGGACTAATACGTAAACCTAAACCTATACCAAACGGAACCTATCCTATCCTATACGAACTGAGCCAACATGAAAGCTAAGCCAAACGAAACAAAACCAAACGAGTTGCGAAGGACAGACAAAAGGAGGAGGAGGAGGTCCTGGCGGGGAATCCCAGGGAAGTCGGGGTCACTGCACAGTTACAACTACCCAACCAAACCGCTCCATCTTTTCCCACATAACATATATAGTGCATATGTGTGCGACATCGACACCACAACTAATGAACGATGGACAGGACGTGGACAACTCTCAGACTGACAAATGACAAAGGAAACGGGTCGCAGGACACAGGACCCTGGACATATCATAGGTATAGAGATAGAGATAGCGATGGAGAGATGTAGATTCGGATGCAGTGGAAAGGGGAGAAATGCGACTGCGTAAATGACTTACTACGGCTGACCAACTACAAACCCAATTGAAACCAAAACTTAACCCAATCACGAAGTGTGGTCAGTGCAGCGAGAACCCCATGTGGCGACACCCCTGGAGGCAGAGATTCTATTACCACACTGGTCAAAAAAGTTGTGGTAATGAGTAGTTGGAAAATAGGTATCTTTAAAGGTTTCTGCATAATCCATTGTTATTATATTATTTTAGTTTCAATTAATACTGAAATCACTTGAATACAATACTTTTTTCGCGATATCAAAGAGCCAAGTGCATTTGTAACACTATCGAGTTGTAAATGCCATATAGTTGAAGTTCGAAATACACTTGATACTTTATATTTGCGATTGTGATTGTGCCTGCCGCATTTTGAAGAGTGCAGAGTGGTGTATATTTTTGGATCGAAACGCGGAATTCCAGAAAAGTTTTGCGGCTGTGGGAAATTCCGTTACGGCGGCTGGATCGCATTCCCGCATGATTCATTCCATGCCCAGCGGGTGACGCAATGGGGGGGGGTTATGCATGCCCCTTCTAAAACCCCCCAACCCTCGTACGCCTCTGTCTTCTATCAGCCAGCGAGCAGCGAACCGACTAATTCAGTTGACTCCAGTGCAATTGTGGGGGGAGGTTGGTTCCAAAGGAACAGGGTGGGTAACTAAAGTTGGCCGACAGTTTGCAGTTCCCAGCCGACAATCAAATGGCCAACGACACCCGACCACCTTCTCTCGCCCCCTCTCAACCCACAATTCTGTGTGAGCCCCTGTTCTCTGTGCAGAAAAGGGACTTTGTATGGGTTGTTTGGCAGCGACGATTGCGTGTTCCCTTTGCCAGGGGCGGCGGTTTGAAAGGGGGCGGGGGTTCACATCGTTTGGAATCGAGTGTTTGGGGAGATGCTCGGGCATATTGCACATTGTAAGCCAGTCCTGCAAGTCCTGCAGTCCTGCGAACCCCCTTTCCTTCCCTTCCCTGTACTTTGCCTTGCGGATGAGTCAGACATGCGAACGTAAAGTCCTTCAAAAAAAAAACAGAAAAATGTGGAAAAGCACAGAAAAAATGCAAGCAGAGAGAGGATAGCTAAAAAAAAAAGAAGGGGATGGGGGCGGCAAGACTGATAAGAGGGGTTAGGGTACCAGTTGTAAGAAGGCTACACAGGAGAAAAAGAAATTATTTCATTCAAATGTATATTGTATAATAATTATACAACGTTCCCTCACATTTTTTAAGGTAAATAGGTAAGTATTTAACGAGGCTATGAAATCACTTACAAAGGTGTCTAAAAGTATGCAATGAAAACAATTCACTGACCTTTCGAAAGTCCAGGACTATTTCATTGCATACTTTTAGACATCTATTGAATCTGGTTTTCTCTCCGTGTGAATTAAAATGGCAAGGGGAAGGTGAAAGGCGAAAGGTGGCTACAAGCGACATAAGCAACCACCGACGACCACAAAAATGACGACAGCGATGCGTGCCACTGATAACGGTGACGGCTGACTGGAGGAGGTGGCTCACGTTGCAGGGTGGATGGATCGGGGGTGGCTGACCAGGTCCCCGGATAGTCCAGTCATAAATTGCCGGCAACAGCGAACTAGCATGAATAGCGGCATTAAAGTATCAGGCAAACAAAGGGGGCAGATGGCTGGAGATTGAGTGAAAGAAAGAATGAAAGAAGGGCAAAACAAATTGCAGCCTGCATACAAAACACAAGCCATGAAAGGCAGGGCAGCAGGGCTCCAGCTTCGGCTCCATAAAGCAGCTTAACTGCTCCCCTGGCTGGGATTGCTGGCCCCGTATCCTCCAGGATTCTTGCCGGCTCCTGCACTCGTTTTTCAATTGCTTCGCAACCGTACATGTATATGAATTTGATAAGGTTTTTGTTTCGCCACAAAATGTCCGTTGTCCGTTGTCCGCCTGTCCGTTGCCAAGGCAAATTGCTTTGAGTTATTTAAGGGAAAAATAAGGAATATACGTAAAGGAAATTTGTTAAGGCCAGGCACGTCGTCGATTGTGGGTCGGCCAAGAAATTGTTTTGAAATGATTTGAAAAAGCATTTCAGTTTAAGCCAACAATATCCGAGGAGCCCATGTGTGGGTGTGCGTGTGTCTGTGCCTGTGAATTGATGAATGCTCCTAGGAGAAGAGGAAGGAATCCCACTGATGAATGCAGGACCAGCCTCAGAACAATTTGAGGATTATGCCGAGAGAGAACTGTGGAGTGCTGAGTGCCGTAGCAATAATTGAGGGATTTTCCTAGGCTTGAATGGGGATTGGAAAGTGGGCCCAAAGCCCAAAGCCCACCAATCGATGACCCGACCTGACCACTCATTCAATTTCCATGATAATTGCCCCGGCGCAACGGGTGCCAAATCAAAATCAAAATGCCTAACTGCCTTCATTAGTTTCGCTGCCGCTTTCAGCTTATTTCGCATGCAAATTGGAGTCAGCTGGTGTCTCCTTCGGTTTTTCGGGGTCTTTGGGTTTTCGGCTCTCGGTTTTTGGGCTTTCCGCTGTTTGCTGCTTGTGCGGTTGTGTAAGCCGAAAAGCCACGGGGAAAAACCCAGCCAGAGAAAAGAAAACGGTTCAATTAAGCCAATATTTGCGCACACTCGCGCCTTGTGTTGGTTAGTTTTGGCAAGGGCTGAGATAGCGCCCCCCCCTTTCGAAACCCCCTTCCGAAACCCCTTCCGAAACCCCCTTCGAGCGGCACTGCTAAGCGATGGCACATTTTTCGTAGCATACTTTGCGCGGCTGCTTAGCCCACGGCCACAACAGAAACACAGAGAACAGAAACCCGCTCAAGTGTTTGTGTATCTGTCTCTTGCCCTGTGCGTGTGTGCGTGAGTGTGTGTGGTTGGGATTTGTATTGCTATTGCACGCAGAAAAAAAACCTAATACATATCACTTTGATTTTGTCGGACGTATAAGGAAATATCATATAACGTTTGAAGTTCTATCAGATTTTTACATTCATGTAAGAAAGAATCGATAAAAATATTATAACAAATTAATATAATCTGTGGTGGGCTTAAAAATTTCTGAAATAGTTAAGTTCACTGGGTAAAAAAGGGATATTAAAACTTCAGAAGGTAGAAATTGTGTTTCTCTTAGTATGTACCATAAAAATGACAACAGTAAATATCAAAATTTGTTATACAAAAAATTGTTCAATAAAATTTGTGTAAAATTTAAAATATCTAAAAAATACTTTGAAATTAAGAAGTTGACCACGTCTTGTTAGTCGTCAGACACAATAAATTTTTATTATTATTATTATATCTGTTATTATTTATAATAATATCTGTTTAAAACTGAGCTATTATTGAGATATTTTCTGAGCTATATTTCGCCTCAGTGTGCTCTTTCGGGTTTTTGGCTTGTGTGTTCTGTTCTGTTCTGTGTTTCGGGTCTTTCGGCCGACTCCTTCGTTCCTTCGAGGTGGCATTGTATCGAATGTGGAGTGGAATCGGAATGCGAATGGGAATCGGAATGGGAATGGGAATGGTGTGGACTGTGGTGGTGGAATGGTGTGTGGTGTGTGGTGTGTGGATTTGGTGACTCACCTGAACCTGAGCGGTGCCAATGGCCAGGACGACCCAGAGGCTCCGCAGCAACAAATTACGACGCAGCGCGGCGCACATTGTTCGCACTCCTTTTGAGATCCTTGTCCTTGGCTGTGACTCTGACTCCGACTCCTTTGTGTCCTGTCTCTCCAAACTCGGCTCCTGTCTGCTCTGCTTCTCAGCGAATCTCAGACGGGAATCTCTGAACTTACCGCTGCTTTTTGCGGCTCGTCTGGGTTGCAATTTAGCTTTGGATTTCGTTTTCAGATTCTCTGTTTCTGGTTAACTTGTATTTGGTTTGTTGTTGGCTTGTTCGTTTAACACTTTGCTGCTTGGACAGGCAACAGGAAATCAAAAACACAAGAAAATTTCATTAGGAATTGTGGGTTTTGTGCCTTCTGATTTCTGATTGCTGTTCGATTTGCGGTGCCCAAGTTAGCTGGTTTGGTTAGCTCGCCTGCCTGCCCCACCGCGAAGCGCTTTTCCTTTCGCCGTTGCCCCAAAAACTATGCACGAAAAATGTCAACTCGGAAAACTCAGCGTGTGTGTGTGTGTGTGTGGTTGTGTGGTCGTAGTATTTGATTGTGGAACGTAGTAGAAGAGAGTCTAAGATGAGCAACGTGCTGGAAGGGGAAGGGAAAAGGAGAGAGCGCACTCGCTGCTATCTGTCCCCACTCGCTGGTTCCCGAGATGGCATGGTATTTAGATATACTCGGTGGAAAGTGGAAATTCCTTAGAAAAGCTGTCAGCTGCAGCCGCTTGGATCCCATGTCACTTGTCCAAGTCCAAGTCCCCTGTTCTTGGCAGCTCCTACGCAGGTCCACCCAGGTCCACCCTAACCGCCTGTCCACCCCCTCGAAGGAAAGGCCTCGTAACCACGTCGTCGTTTGGCTTCTGCGCACTTTCTCTCCCTCTCTCTCTCTCTCACTTTCTCGCTGATTCCGCGCAGGTCTTCTCTTTGCGATTCCCCCCATTTTCCCCCCTCACTGCACACAGCTAAATTGGCACCACAAATCCACTTTTGGCATCGGCTTAGTTTTAGTTTTCTTCTTTTCAAGATTATATCACTTTGTTTTCGGCTGTTTCTCTAGGTTTTTCTTTTTGTTTCGTTTCTTTCTTCTTCTTTGTTTCTCTTTGGGGTTTTCTCTTTTTAACACTTTGCACTTGGAACAACAAAAAAAAAATGTATTTTAGCTTATATTTTGTTTCAGTGATTTCAGTTGATTTCGGTTGATTTCGGTCTCTCAGTGTCTCAGTGATGCGGTTCTCTGCTCTCTCTCTTTCTCTCTCTCTCGAAATTGTGATTGTGGGAGAAGGCGGGAGAAGGCAGCAGCAGCCCCAGGGGTTTTCCCAGCGGAATCTCTGATTCTCCGAGTCGAGTTTGAAGCTCTGGAGCTATGGATGTGGGCTGTACCTGGCGCTGCGAACGCTCACAAACGACTGCGAGTGGTGCTGGCTGCTCGGCGGACTCGTTGCCTCCAAATCGAATGTCCTGACAGTCCGAAAGTCGCAGAGCGCGTGCCCGGAATCGATATTAAGGGCGAAATCGAAACCGAAACCGAAACGGAAACGGGGGTGGAAGTGGAATCGCTGGCAGAGCTACTTGCTTCGTGGTCCGTGGCCTGTGGAATGTGCCAGCCGAAATGGGCAGCAGGCAGCAGCAGGTGCTCGGAACGAAATTCAAAATTCAAAGTCCGAAAAGGGTGCCAGTTGCACTGGGAACCGGGAACCGGTTCCGCCAGCGGTTCCGAACTAAGCGAACGCACTTCCGGCGGAACGGAATTGTTATCATTTCTTCGAACTCCGCGCGCGGTAACTTTATGTGGTGGTTTGCCCCTGCTGCACTTGAAAGGATTTAAAACCTGAAAACAGGAATTAACAGTCCTATCTCTCTCCATTATTTTCTTTAGCATTCTTACATTAAAAGATCGCCTTATGGCCAAACAATAACATATTAACATTAGTTCGTGACTTTAAATACGAACTTTTATTTACTGTTTAATTTTTTGTACTCATCATCAATTTCTTATTAATATTGTGTTTATGTTCTTATTATTTATTTATTAAATATATATCTGTATATAATACTTAGTTTATATAATATGAGATGTTACGAGAAGCCAATGATTTGGACCACTATTTCCATTGTTCTGGTTTTTTTGGGGTGGAAAATCAAAATCTTGATTTTTTGTAAAAAATTAGATTTTTTATTATAGATTTTTTGCTGTAACTTGGTCAAAAATGGTCCCAAACCAAAAAGGCGCACTGTTTTGAACAGCTAATGACCTTATAATTAATATCAGTGCACTTTGCGACTGATTTGAGAAAATTAATTTTCGACCCAATTTTCGCTTTTTTTATAAGGGGTACCATCATAATTTTTTCGAAAAATGGAAAAAATTAAAAAATTCCAGGTTTAAATGCCAATCGATTGGGAATTTTATTACGAGCTCAACGAGGTATGGAATTCCATATTTGGACCAATATTTAATAAAGCTGTGTTTTATTTTGAATTATTTTACACAATTTTACAGTTTTACAGTCCCTGTAATAAAGCTGTGTTTCATTTTTGATAATTTTACGCAATTTTACATTTTTTTACAGTCATTGTAATAAAGTTGGGTTTCATTTTGGATAAATTTGCGGAATTTAAAATTTTTACAGTTTTACATTCATTGTAAATTTGAATTACAGTTTTAGAATCACTTTTGGTCAAGGTCGAGACTCAACCCAGTTACCCGAATTTTACATGACACAGCCGAGTCTCAATCCCTACTTTTCCGGGTGACCATTTACTCATTTAAATGATTAGCCGAGACCCAACCCTATTTTACATCGTGCATACATTTTACAAGCAGTATCCGAGTCTCAAACCAACCCCCTATTATGCCAGGGTGACCATTTTACCATTTTAATAAGTGGCAACCCTGCGCCCAACAGCTGTTTTCCCTACCGGCTGTAAATAAATCGTGGAAATTCCACAATCTTTGTTTGTCCTACGCCACCACCCACTAACTGGGCTTGATGAGAATCAGCAACTAACCCAGGAGCCAGGAGCCACACACGCCCTTACAAACGCACATTCCATATTCCCGGGGAGGCGGCAGCAGCCATACATCGCGGGAGGGGGCGTGGCGGTGCCCGGCGAGCTTCGGAGTACGTGGCAATGAAACTGCAACTGAAACCGAAAGCAAATTAAGTTAAGCCCGGAACTTAACCCATTCGCAATAGCAATCTCAGCGACAATTGCAATCTCAGATCCCGCCCAACCGAGATGACGGCCACGTTGCGTTACCGCGGCGACAAGAGCAATCTGCTGGAGCTGGCCAAGAATCTGGATGCCTTCAAGAAGGTGCCGGAAAAGTACACAGAGACGACGGAAATCGGAGGGACACGTAAGCAACTCGATATCATTTCCCCGTTGAAACGCTAATCCATTATCCACTTAGTATCCCTGCTGAGCCGCCTGTTGATCGTGTACCTGGTCTACACGGAACTCCACTACTACTGGCACGAAACGGACATTGTCTACCAGTTCCAGCCGGACATCGCCCTGGACGAACAGATCCAGATGCATGTGGACATCACGGTGGCCATGCCCTGCGCCTCGCTCTCCGGCGTGGATCTGATGGACGAGACGCAGCAGGATGTGTTCGCCTACGGGACGCTGCAGCGCGAGGGCGTCTGGTGGGAGATGTCCGAGCAGGAGCGACTGCAGTTCGAGGCCATCCAGATCCAGAATCACTATCTGCGCGAGCAGTTCCACTCGGTGGCCGATGTGCTCTTCAAGGACATCATCAGGGATCCGCATCCGGGCCGGGAGAGTCCCTCGCAGGCGCCCGCCGCTCCTCCGCCCGGCGCCCTCGATCTCTTCCAGCTGCATCAGCCAGACCATCAGGCGAATGGCCAGCCGGAGAACAAGTTCGATGCCTGCCGGCTGCACGGTACGCTGGGCATCAACAAGGTGGCCGGAGTGCTGCATCTCGTGGGAGGAGCTCAGCCGGTGGTGGGACTCTTCGAGGACCACTGGATGATCGAGCTGCGACGGATGCCGGCGAACTTCACGCACCGCATCAACCGCCTGAGCTTCGGGCAGTACTCGCGGCGGATTGTGCAGCCGCTGGAGGGCGATGAGACCATCATCCAGGAGGAGGCCACCACCGTGCAGTACTTCCTCAAGATCGTGCCCACCGAGATCCAACAGACCTTCAGCACCATCAACACGTTTCAGTACTCCGTCACCGAGAATGTGCGGAAGCTAGGTGAGAAAACGAGGTCTAGAAAGGGTATTTCAAATAGGTTATCAAAATTATCATAGAATTGAACTATTGGATCCATTTCTAAAGATCTCAACTCTTATGTTTTGAAGATTGATTTAACATAAATGAAGTATATATTTATATAACTTTTTAAATATTCCTATGAATATTATTTTGAGTAAATTATATTGAGTAAATTATATAAATATTTAAATATTCCCATCAATATTATATTGAGTAAATTAAAAACCATCTTAACATCTTTCAATTGAATATCATTCATCAACTTTCCTTTATCCACAGATACCTAATGCAATTCGAAATATTTAAATATTTCCATCAATATTATATTGAGTAAATCGTATTAATTTCCCAGAAACTATTAGATCCATTTGTAAAGATCTTAACTCTTATGTTTTGAAGATTGTTTTAGCATAAATTAAGTATATTTGCCAAAATATTTATTTATTTTATAAGTCATCCCAACGCTACAAGCTTCGAGCTTATTATTAATGCGCTAGTCACAATTTAAATAAATATTTAAATATTCCTATTAATATTATTTTGAGTAAATTATATAAATATTTCAATATTTCCATCAACATTTTATTGAGTAAAATTAATTTTAATATCTTCTAATTGAACATCATTCATCAACTTCCTTTTTATCCGCAGATTCCGAACGCAATTCGTATGGCTCCCCTGGCATTTACTTCAAGTACGACTGGTCGGCCCTCAAGATTGTGGTGGGCAACGACCGCGACTACCTGGCCACCTTCGCCATCCGCCTGTGCTCGATCATCTCCGGCATCATAGTCATCTCGGGGGCCATCAACTCGCTGCTCCTGGGCCTGCAGCGCCGCCTGCTGCGCACCTTTGCCCCGGAGCTGTACCACCGGCTGGCCAGCGCCAAGCCAGCGAATCCCTCGGCTGCTCCTTCGACTGCTGCTGCTCCCGCTCCTCCGCCGCCCGTCAACGAGCTCCTGCACACGGCCAACCTGATGGCCAGCGTCGACATCTCGGCCTATCTGCCCACGGCGGCGCCGCCGAAGCTCAAATCCGGCCTCTAACCCTTTGGGTAGCACAAATCTCAGTAACCGAAGCTTCCCCTCGTCTTACCTTTGATCTGGTCATGTTGGAGGAGTGCGAAGTGCTTGCCAGGAATTCAGGGAGACGCAACACCTTCTCTTTAAACTAATTTCTTGTTTATTCTTTCATTAAGATACGAAAAAAAAAGCACACACAAATATGGCAAGAATGTTGTACATAAATATTGATAAGCACAAGAACTGTATGTTTTCCTTGGCTCAATCGCTGCCCAGGATCCCAGTGTCGATGTTGCTCCACTTGCCGGACCTCCGGTAGCCGAACATGCTCTTCAGGATCTCCAGGCCGGACTCCACGGTGGTGCGCACGTCGCGCTCGCTGCCCAGCTTCGGGTTGATCTCCACCAGGTCGACGCCCTGCACCCGCTTGGTGTCCCTCAGCGCCTCCACGATGCTGATGCCCTCGCGCAGGGTGAGCCCGCCGCGCACGGCGGTCCCGGTGCTGGGCGCCACGTTGCTGTCCAGGGCGTCGATGTCGAAGCTCACGTGGATCTTGTTCTGCGGATCGAGGGCGTCCAGGGTCATCTCGATGATCTTGGGCACGCCCACACGGTCGATGGTCTGTTGGGGGAGGAATCAGGGGATCAGAGGTTGAATTAATGCCTTTCTGGACTCTAAAGCTATTCTTTACAATTTATTCGAATACTAAATTGTATACAGAGTTTTATCAAAAATTTTTCTTATTATTAATGCCATATTTCATTGGCTTTCAAGCTAGAAAACCTTTAGAACATGATCGTTAAAACTTTAAACTAATGATCTTGAAATTAACCAAGATGTAAATTTAAATAGTACAATTTACCACGGTTTACTATGGTTTTTTAAACAGAAACATAAATAAACCAAGATGTAAATTCCAAACATTAAAAGAATGTTGGCTAAAAAGTGGCCCAACTTTAAAGGGAATATGTTTTAATGTGGACTAGTGATTTATGTGATTTCAGTTCAGTCTGCAGCACTATATATTATATTATATTATTTCCCGAAATATGGCTGTTTAATACTCGCTCATTTTTTTAGATAAGCTTTGATTGTCGATTTAGTTCCTCGGGTTCATGACTACATAATTGCTTAAGACTTGTAAGTAAAATTTTAATAATTATAAATAAAATTTGTATTCGAAACCTGAACTCGCTGTGTCGTATATTATATTCCTTTGAAAATGTTAACTACACAAAATGATGCTATCTGGGTTTGGTCCTTCAATTATCCTTCCTTATCGCAACTGTACAAAAATATGGCATCATTGCACTTCCCCTGCCGCATTTTCGCAGGCGAGTTTATTGTCTATTGGAAAATATTGGTATTCCAATTCCGATCGAACTAATGAGCGATAATAAATTTGCAGCTTTGCTGAGCGGCCGGAAATTCGCAGCCAAATCGGGAGCGAGGGCATTAAACAGGGACCATTTTTCAACAGACGTCGATTTTGCACGAGCCATAAATAATGGGCAACGAGCCGTTTCTGACAAGGATGCGAATGAGTTCCGAGTTTTTGGTTTTTGGTTTTCAGTTTCGAGCTCCGAACTCCGAACTGCGGATGTGGCCAGGCACGTAATTTGCTGGGATGGTGAGTCACCACCACCGAGTTTCTCGTTTTCGAGATCGGAAGTGGAAGTCCTGTAACAGGGGGTGGCAAAAGTGGTAGCAGCAGTAGGGACAGCAGACTGTCGACTGCTGGCGACAACCCCTATAAATGCCAAGCTTACAACGAAAAACGAAGGACGAAGGACCTCTGTGTGTAATGCCCTCGGCAGTCACGCACGATCGTCATCCGATCCTGCCCCATAAACAGGGCTAGGATACAGGGACAAGGGACTAGGGACTTGGGACTAGGGGAAGAAACCGGAATTTTACAATTTTTACAACTGCCAGCGAGACTGAAAAGGATGCGATCGGAAAACCGAACTGGAATGCAGTGAAATGAAATGCAATTCGGGAGAAGGACGATCGAGGCTTTCTACCTAGGTGCGGCTGCCTTTCTCTAGATTCTACACAGCGAGAAAAATAGGGCCCCATTGAAATGGCATCATATTGTAGTGATATTTGACATTTTACAACATGAGATATCATGACATTCAATAATATCCTTCGTAATACTACCTCTATTTAGTTTCTAAACAACTAAAAAATATCATACACAATATCCTATTGAAATACCAATATTACAATTACAATTTACATTTTTAAAACATTGATTTATGAATTAGATATCCTATTGAAATACCAATATTACAATTCGAATTTAAAATTAAAAACATTAATTTACGAATTAGATATCCTATCAAAATCCTCTATTATAATACCAGAAATTCATTACTTATATTTTTCATAAAACTACTCTCTCAGTGTACTCACATCCATCGCATAGTAGCGTATCCCGACTTTGTTCAATATGAACGCCTCGTAGGGGTCAATGTCCCGCAGTCCGATGTAAACCAACTGATCCTTGGGCAAACTGAAATGACAACCAGAATACATGGTGAGATCAATAAGAAGCAAAACAGTACGTGGCACATGCGCTAAGAATGAGGGATACGAATGGGATCTCATAGGCCAATATGGGATAGTTCTGGGATATGGATAGTGTACAGTGGGCCGCAAACAGCTGACGTGTAAACAAATAGTCGTGGGTTCCAGTCGAGGGATCACTGAACTAAAAATTATAAAGAGGAGGATGAGGAGGAGAAACAGGAGAAGCCCTCGAAGTGCGGGTAGTCTTGTCTTTTTGGGTAAAAAAACCCCTTTTGGTCACTGATCCTTGCCAAAGGGGAAAGGGGCCTTCAAGTTTGTGTTCCAGTGATCGTGCTCAAGTCCTTTTCCTGACAACTCAATATTGGGTTAGGTCAGAAAAGGAGAGTTCCTCTGATAACTTTAACTTTCAATTAGCCAAAGATATCGTTAAGATCTTTTTAAGAACAGGGTAATTCTGTTTACTCAGTTGGCGTTTAATCACATTAGAAACATTTCAGTGATCATGATCAGGGATCTTTTCTATAAACTACCTATTTGCCTCCTTTTCTAAAGAATCTATTAATCCTCAACAAATCTGACAGCTTGCCAACTTTCTCACACTGCGAAAATGGGATTATGAAAAGTTCTATTATAATTTAGCCCTAAACGATGGTATAATTTTCTAACTAACGAACTAAAGATCACAGTGAATATAAATAATAAAAACGATTAGTTTGACAAATGCTCGACCGAATTTCAAGGTGAAAGACTATAATAATAGTTCAATTAATCATTCCAAAATTGCGCATTTCCTTTGCCAAAATCAAATGTTTTACTGCTCATCCTGATCCTGCCCCCCTTCGTTCCCCTCCATTCGCCATTCACCATTCACCATTCGTGATCCTGATTAGTAGGCCAGGTGGCCAAAAGTCCTTGGCCCGATCACGTTCGCAACCCTAAAGGACTGCAACCGAATCGGATTCAGAACTCAGAATTCAGAGTTCCGAATTCAGAACGAGAGCAGGCTGCATTGCGACAAAGGTGAAAATGTCTGAAAAGGAAAAACGGCAACAAAAACACAACACAAGCGGGAAAACAATGGAAAAAAGTAAGGGGCAGGAGGAAAGGGAAACACATGCCACGATTCAGTGCCGAATGTCCTGCGATCCCCCTTCCAAAAGTCGCCGCCCCTGAATTCCCATTCCTGCTTCGATCGTGTGCATTGCTCCTGGACTTTGAACCCGGTGTCTTATGGTAATTTTTATGATTATTACCATTAGTTTCGGGGGAAAAGTGCATCTGTCGCCGGCTGCAGATCGGTTCGGCTTCCTAGCCGATCCCACAGATCCCATAGATCCTGCCGATCCTGCCTACCCAATCTGAGTCCTTGGATCGTGGACATTCGAGTGCAGTGAGACGTGCAAAGTTAAAAGCGCCCTAAGGATCATTATGTAAATATTCGAAGAGAGAAAGGGCCAGAAAAGGGGGTGGCTTTCGCCCGATAAACACACGGTACGAAAGGATATTTTATTTTATTTTTTATGTATAATTTTGGAAATACTTGGATCTCTTAAAAAAATCCCTTGAATTAAACATTTATACTAAGAAGCTAATGGTTGGCCCTTTTAAGATCTAATATATTTACTCTCTAGCTTTTCCCTCAGAAGAAGACTTGATAAAATTCGTTAAATACGTTAAATTAAAAATCATTGAAATATACTTATATACCTAAAATATATTTACACTATGAAGATAATAAATTACCCATTTAAGATTAATTTCCTTTTACTTTTCCCACAAATTAGACCATATACCATTGAGAATTTTGGTAATTTCTTGCAGTGTACTGGCCATTTCGAGTCCTTCTCCCTGTTTTTCCGTGTCTCCTACTCTTTCGGGCATCATAACTTTCGGTTCGGTTCGTTTTTGTGTTACCGCTATTCAGCTCGCCTGGGTGTTTATGTAACGCTAAGGGTGGGCCGAACGGCTTTTTCGGAGTACCTCCCCTCTGAGAACGGGAATTTCGCCTCGCCCAGCTTTGTTGTAGTTGTAATCTTGTGTTGGGTCTGCTTTTTTAATCCCGCTTTGATGTAACGCCGGGCGGTTGTTGTTTGTGTTTTGTTTCCGCCGTGGCTAAAACGGATTAGGCAGCCCAACCCTTTCGCTTTCAAAAACCCCCCTCGTACTTCCCCGCTCTTTTTCCAATTCGGTTAAAATAAAGTAAAAACTTGTATTGCCTACTTTTTTGGGGGTAGAAGCTGCGGTGAAATGCAAGAAATAAAGAGCACGTGGCCGGCAACTTTCTCCATCAGCATGCGTCAGCGAAATAAAAGCTGATGTAATTTTAATGGCATTATATCAGGGATCCCCTGATGGTTCCGATAAGACTCGCGGTTATCTGGAAACGTGGAAGTCTACAAATAATATCTGGCTATACATTTACTAAAAATATACCACTCCAATACCTACAATTTTATTTTAATACGTTTCTAGTAAAACTGGTTTCAAAAAAGCCACTCAATATTCAAGATAGGTGGCAACTCTCTCTTACTTATTTTGATAAAATTGTGAAAATTCTAAAAATACATTTTAAAAAACTTATAGCTAACTTATTTCCGAAATGATTCCCCCAACTTTAAACTGAAAATCCATTAATTCGACCACCACAGTAGGACCTCCGAGTTGAACTTATCAAACATCGAAAGGGCGTACATACAATATACATATGTACATATGCAGATTTGTGTGCTAAGCAAACACTTGCGACGCCGATCTGTCTGAATCCGAGTTCGCATATTCTGCGAGGATGGAAGTAGCACCACCCCACCACATTTCCGTTGCCACTAGCACCACCCTTCGGAAAGGACGACAAAAACCACCCCCGGCCAAAAGTTGCGTTACAATTCTCCAAATACAGGGCAACCTCAATTTGGTGGACCCACTTATCAAAATTATTTTAAGTTTCACTAACATAATTCAAAACTAAGATATATTTAAAAAATAAGACAAAATCCCATTGATTTTTTGTTTTAAATGCTATACTTGCGGTAGACTTTACTGTACCTCATTTCGCGACTCTGGGTCTCCTGTTTTGTAAATTGGAACAGAGCGTCCGACTGGAACAGGGTAAAAAATCAGCACATGGAACAGGAAGTTACAAGGGTTGGGGGAGTCGGCGGAGGGTGGCTATTCGCCTTATATGGCATATACTATATACTATGTGGCGTGTCGAGTGCCGAATGCCGAATGCCGAATACAAGCGCAATTAAGCACACGCACGCAACAGAAACGAAGGGAAACATTGAAAAACGACAGGATTGCAGTGTGTTGAAATTGAACCGGCTCTTGGAAATGGGTCCTGGGTTTTTGGGTTTCATTGCCTCTGGTAGGGGGTGTATGTACGAGGCATGATGCACGCGGAAACCACCCCAGCCGTTGGCGTTGGTGGTTGCTAGTGCAAAAAAAAAATAAATAAATTATAAAGGAAACGGAACCATAAGCCCAAAACAGCCCTTAGAACGTGGCCATTTGGCAAGGATAATGGTCGCGTGCATCATAAAACGGTTGACGACCTCGTTGGAAAAAGCCTATAGCCATGATTTCCAATACGATCGTTCTAATGCCTAAAAATCTGGGTGCAATGTGCTTCGGTTTAAAAACAACGGTGGCGAATTCGCCGCTCTATACTCAATATGGGTGGCAACTCTAGACAGCTTCCCAAATATAATATAACTCGGAGAAATTTCAAAAAATTATATAAGTTTGTGGGCAATTATATAGGTATTTATAATCAACTGAGTATAAAATATTATATGGGATATTAATTATTTATTTTAAATGGCTAAATTGCTTAAAGAGCGCTAAAACATTTCCAAGCGCTGGAATTAGAATTGACAACTCTGCTGCTCTCTTTTTTCTCTTTATTTTTTTGCTCAGAGAGTAACCGCCATTTTTGTATTAATCCGCGGTTACACTGTCATTTAAATCAACCAATTGCACTTTGCAATTTTATGAAAAAAGCTTTGTACTTATATGATATGATATTAACTTAGATAATAAAATGCCTTAACTTTTGGGGAATGAAATAAATTTAGGTTTAATTGTCATAAACAATTTTTGTTGGCCTGTGTGAAAACGGCATCCAACTGAACAAAACCGATGTGCATGGGTGTAGGGGTTTCCCCTGGGAAAAAACTTAAAAAAAAAAAAGAAATTTGGCGCCAAACTTATTTTTTTTAATTCACATGAAAAGTAACATAGATTTATTTATTACTTTGTTATCTGTTCAAAACAGTATGTATTTTTGGTGTAGGACCATTTTTGGCCAAGTTACAGCAAAAAAACAAACAGAAAAAATTCAAATTATTACCAAAAACCCGGATCCCGATATTTTACAAAAAATAATTCGTTTTTTGACCGTAACAATGGAAATATTGATCCCAACATGGATTGTCATACCTTTCTGAACTCGTTATTTAATTTCCAATCATTTAGCATTAAAACCTAGATATTTTATTCTTTTGTAATTTTTCGTAAAAAATCATGATGTACCCCCTTATAAAAAAATGGAAAATTGGCGAAAATTTTATTTTTTCAAGATCACCCGGAAAGTATTGTAGATTAAATTATTATTTTTAAATTTGTTCAAAACAGTATGAAATTTTGGTGCAAGACCATTTTTGGCCAGTTCACCCCCTAACAAAACGCTTCCGCCCACGTCTATGGCGCCTCTCTCCGCTCACTCTCGCTCTCTCGCTCTGGTTTTCCACGTTCGCTTCGAACACAACGAAGCACCCCGAGAGAGCAACCTCTGTGTGGAAATGGAAACCGAAACCGTCAGTTCCTCAATTTCGCATTTCATTATTTCATTTCCACGCCAACCATCGTGCGCCGCAGTTCGAACGCTCCTGCCACAGCGAGAGAAGAAAAGTTAGGAAAATCGACTAAACCGAAATCGAAATCCAAATCTCGTGCCTGTGTGCTCTTCTGCAATTGATTATTTTTTTCTCGAAAGCAGTGCTAAACAAGAATAACCGTTAAACTACAGCTATTGGCCGAGTCGAGCGAATCTCAATCCGAAAATGTAAGAATATCCCTCGGATATCCGGAGATACTTGTGCAACCGAGTGAAAACAACAAACACAATAACAATAACAAACCACAAACAATCTCTATCAAATTGTACCATATTTTTGTTGTTTTTTTTCTGCCAAATGATCGTGCCGCTGCATAATTGTGCAATTATACACACATATAATATGAGTGTCTGCATATATATGAATATACATATATATATCTATTTTTTTCTTCCCGCTATGCGCTGGTGGGTGTGTGCCGTGTGTGTGTGTTTGGTGTGGAAGTTTTATACATTCAAACAAATATTAATAGGCAAAGCAACAATATGCAATTTGGTGGAAAAAAGAGCGGCAAAGAGAAAGAGAGGGGGAAAAGCCAAAAAAAATCAAAAAAGCAAACCTCCAAAAGAGAAGGCGGCGGAGGAGGGATGGGCGGCGGTCGGCCAGAGTGAGAGGGGGCGGCGAGTTGTCCGGAGATAGTAGTTGCGTTCAAATCTACGCCTCTGTGTGCTGTGTATCTGTAAATGCTTGCTGCTCAAATTCAAATCTGTGTGCGTGTGAGCGGGAGAGCGGTCTATATGTGTGTGCTAGAGCGAGAGAAAAAGGGCGCAGCTAGCATATCGATTTTATGTGCAAGGAGCATTGTACGCAACAACAAAAACAACAACAGCAGAAGGAACAAGAACAGTTAACCGATAGAATTATGTAGACATTTTGTGAGGGGAGGGGGGATGCGGAGGAGAGAGAGAGAGTGGGTGGCAGAGATATTTGCAGTAAACAAAACGCCGGTTGCCATAAAAAGCAAACGCACACACATAAACAAAAGAGACACCAAACAAAATCAGTGTAGTAGTAGCAACAGAATTATTGTAATTGTAAACTAAGGGGAAAACGCGCGGAAACGCAAATTAGGACAGTTCCACATGTACACAGTTCAAAAACAAAGAAGCGATTTCCTTCAAAAAAACAAACCAAAAACAATACAAAAAAGACAGCGCGTGTTTTATCCCAGCGACAACAACAAATAACTTATAGATACTAAGTGCTAGTGTGTGTGTGTTTGTGCGAGAGAACGCGATTCGTTTTAACAAAAAGTCAAATACATACGCACGCACTAACGTATTCGTGGGTATAAAAACAATACATTGTATCTACGTCCTCCCCCCTTCACCCACCACCCATTGCCCAACCCCCCGTGGGCCCAGAACAACAACAAGAAAATATACAAATCAGTGCAAGAGATATTTGGGTATTTCAAAATAACGCAAAAATAGCCACTCACACAATAGAATTGTATAACAAACAATACAAAAAAATGCTAATGCTCTGCTACTATGTATAATATTTTTGTTATGCCTTTTTTTTGCCAGTGAAATATGAATGATGTGATTGAGAGGGGGAAAATCGATAAAATCGATTTGCGATAACAAAAACGCACGCACAGAAGCACGCAAACAGGCGCACAAACAAACATACAACACCCCCAACTAAACAAGAAAAAAAATTAAAACTAAAACTACTACCAGCAAACACATCGAATTTACCGCTTATTTTGTTTTGTTTTATTTTTGTTTTTGTCCACATCAGACGACAGCAACGACGACGCCAGCGTTTATTTATTAACAAAAAACGATTACACTACAACAAACACCAAAGTCCTGGACCACCGGAGAGTGTGTGAGCGAAAAGGAAAGCAAGGAAGAGAGAGAGGAAGAAAGTGCAAGGAGGAGCGCCGTGAGAGCGCGCGCGCAAGGATTCCAGATTCCAGAGAGAACTTAGAAAATTAATTCACTTTGTTTGCCAGCCAAACAAAACAGCAACAACAACAACCACCACCTCCCCCAAATACAACAACACACACACACTAGCTCTCTAAACTAAAACAAGTGAGTATTTAAAAGACGACGGGCTTTAAGTCGAAGAGAGCATGCTAACGGTATCGGAGATCGCAGGACGAAAGAAAGAGAGGCAGAGAGAGAGAGACTCTCAAAGGGTGCGGTGCCGTGTCAAGGCGATACAGTGAAGCCTCGATAACGAAAACGTTAATTTAAAGTTTAAAAAATGAGTAGAGTAAAGAAGTACATTTTGGATGTTTATCTCTAAGGGCATCCATAATTATAATATTTTCTTGATAGAGGTTTTAACTATCGAGGTTGAACTGTAGTTGCCATGACGATAGTTGGTGAGCGAGAGACCCCTGTCTGCGTGTCCCTGGGTCAAAAGTGGGCGGAAATGGGTGGTGTGGGATGACGACATGTGTGCGCGTGACCTTTTGACTCTTTCGTGAGCACTACAGAAAAAAAGGTGCGAATCGTCATGGCATGTTAGAAGCCACAGTGGAATATGTCCAATACGAACTACCTAAACTCAATTAGTTTTTCTTGATTTCAAAAATGACAACACTGCTTATTCAAACTATTTAAGGCTAAGCCCAGTTACAAACTCAATTGAATTAGTTTTTCCCAGTGTACATTTATTGTAAATGATCTAATGCTTAATTAAGCAATTCATTTGTCAAACATGCTTAGGTTAATTTTCGCATCTATGCAGCAGAAAAAAATAGTTTACAATATTAACCAACCAATTGTATTAAATTTTAGGTTCTATATGCAAATTAATCAAAATGCTGCCATTTCCACGGCGATCGTTTTTTTTTTTTTTTTGGCAGCCCTCTGTCTCTGTCGCACCTAGTTCATTGAACCGAAACATCCGCTAGTTTTAGTTCAAGCAACAGCCGCTGTCTCTGTCCTACACTCTCTCTAGCAGCCGCCCCCCTCTGCCGCAGCCTCTGCCTTCGCCGCCCTTAGAGCGTTGCCATGTAAATGGCGAGCCGAGAGCCGGCTTAGGGGGTGGCAATGCCATGCGTTTAACCCTTAAGCGGTGGCAAGTTCCGCTTGTACATAGAAGCCGCCGTTCTGCGTTTCGCAAAAGGAAATATTACAACTTGTTCGGCTAAGGGTGGGTCTGCTGCCTATTGCTCATTTTTGGTGTTTTTTCTTTCTCCAGGGGGTTCGAGTTGATTTCTCGCATGTCCTGGCCCCTTAAGTTTAACCCTCCGTCTGCCGCATTACATAACTGGGCGGGGTACGGCACAGAGAAAAGAGAAAAGAGAGAGAGCGCTGTAACAGTTTGTCCAAAAGGAAACGATTGAGGGGGAGGGGCAGAGAGAGAGCAATAGCAAGAGCGGCTGGAGCGCAAAGCCTGGCCAGAAAGTCCTGCGCTCGCCTCAGAAGCATCCTGTGCCTGTGACGCAGCGGATCTGGCCTCGCATTTCGCTCTGTAACCAAAAGCTAAACTAAGCCCATAACTAAAGTATATTAATCCAAAAGCAGTGTGAACGGATAAATTCGAAAAGCGCACCGCAAAACGAGAGTACCAGCAAAAAAGCACGCAAATCACCGACAGAGGAAAAGCAATAAATTCGCTAAAGTTCAGTTCTTCCAGTGCCGAAGGTGTGTGTTTGTTTTAGTGCGTCTGTGTGTGTTTCGTTGTCTGGAGAGCTTTGATTCTCAGTGTGGGGGTGTAGGTGTGGGTTTGGCTTGGGGTGGCGGGGAGAGAGGGGGCGGAATAGACACTGAGAGAGCGGCCGGGAAAGAAAGTGGGCCGCTGGGCGGCGCCAGTGAGCAAAGCTCCTTAACCGCTAACCCAAAAAAGGAGAGAGAAAGAGAGAGCGACCAGGGAGGCACAAAAGTAGAGGTCCTTAAATATATGAAACCGAAAAATTAACTAGTCTGGTTGGAAATTAAAAGTTTCAAGGGACTGAGTTGGGTAAAGGATAATCTGGTTTTGTGTTTAATAAATGTACTCTCCTTTTCTGATTAAAAGACCTTTGAGGTCCTTAAAATTAATGAAACTGCGAATCTAACTAGTCCAGTCTATAACTAACCACTAAGTAAACCACAAAAGTTTCTTTAAAATATCAATAGAAAATGCTAACAATGTTTATAAGTAGGCAATGCTACGCGATCCTTAAGAGCTAAAGGCTTTGGTATTTTTGAAAACTTAACTATATCCGAAAAGCAATAAATCACTTTGAGGATCAGTCAACTATCATTTCTCGCCTTGTTCTACTGATTTACCGTATTACATTCCTATTAACCTAGCCCAATAATCCCATTATATACCCAAATAGCCCATTGTATAGCCACTAACCCTTAGTATCTGAAAAAACAAACTACTAACACATCATGCAAATGGTTTAATCTTGACATTTAACTATTCTTTCCATGCGCCTGCCCCTGCGTTGGTCGTGCCAACCAACTCAAACTCCTCGAATCCTCCCGATCCACTCACCACAACAACAACTAAAACCACCCAGTGGACTTTATGATGGCAAATACCGGAGCCGGCGGCGGAGTGGACACACAGGCGCAGCTAATGCAGAGTGCAGCGGCAGCCGCTGCGGTGGCGGCAACGAATGCCGCGGCCGCCCCAGTACAGAATGCGGCCGCCGTGGCCGCTGCCGCCCAGCTGCAGCAGCAACAGGTGCAGCAGGCGATCCTGCAGGTGCAGCAGCAGCAGACACAGCAGGCGGTGGCGGCGGCAGCGGCCGCTGTTACCCAGCAGCTCCAGCAGCAGCAGCAGGCCGTCGTGGCCCAACAGGCGGTGGTGCAACAGCAGCAGCAGCAGCAACAGCAACAGCAGGCGGCGGCGGTGGTGCAGCAGCAGCAGCAGCAGCAGCAGGCGGCGGTCCAACAGGCGGTGGTGCCCCAGCCGCAGCAGGCGCAGCCCAATACCAATGGCAATGCCGGTTCGGGTGCCCAGAACGGCAGCAACGGCAGCACGGAGACGCGCACAAATCTGATTGTCAACTACTTGCCGCAAACGATGACCGAGGACGAGATCCGGTCGCTCTTCTCCAGCGTCGGCGAGATTGAGTCGGTGAAGCTGATACGCGACAAGTCGCAGGTCTACATCGATCCCCTCAATCCGCAGGCGCCCAGCAAGGGCCAGAGCCTGGGCTATGGCTTCGTCAACTATGTCCGGCCGCAGGACGCCGAGCAGGCTGTCAATGTGCTGAACGGCCTGCGGCTGCAGAACAAGACCATCAAGGTGTCGTTCGCCCGGCCCTCGTCGGACGCCATCAAGGGCGCCAATCTGTATGTCTCGGGGCTGCCGAAGACGATGACCCAGCAGGAACTGGAGGCCATCTTCGCTCCCTTCGGGGCCATCATAACGTCGCGCATCCTGCAGAATGCCGGCAACGATACGCAGACGAAGGGCGTCGGCTTCATTCGGTTCGACAAGCGGGAGGAGGCCACCAGGGCCATCATTGCCCTGAACGGCACCACGCCGTCCAGCTGCACGGACCCCATTGTGGTGAAGTTCTCGAATACGCCCGGCAGCACCAGCAAGATCATCCAGCCGCAGCTGCCCGCTTTCCTCAATCCGCAGCTGGTGCGACGCATTGGCGGCGCCATGCACACGCCGGTGAACAAGGGACTGGCCCGATTCTCGCCCATGGCCGGCGATATGCTCGATGTGATGCTCCCGAATGGCCTGGGCGCGGCGGCGGCGGCGGCCACAACGCTGGCCAGCGGTCCCGGCGGTGCGTATCCCATATTCATCTACAATCTGGCACCCGAAACGGAGGAGGCTGCGCTGTGGCAGCTGTTCGGTCCCTTCGGGGCTGTGCAATCGGTGAAGATCGTCAAGGATCCCACAACGAACCAGTGCAAGGGCTATGGCTTCGTCTCGATGACCAACTACGACGAGGCGGCCATGGCCATTCGGGCGCTCAACGGCTATACCATGGGCAATCGGGTGCTGCAGGTCAGCTTTAAGACCAACAAGGCCAAGTAGATTGCAGGCGGAGTGGAAGTGGATACAGATTAAGATGAAGATGCAGATGAAGCAGCACCCCCGGAAACCATTGTCCTGAATCTAAACATCCTGACACACAACCACACACAACACACATATATAAATATGCATGGTATAACGGTAACTAAGCGCAACAAAACAGTATGTGTAAAACACACACGAACAAAAAAGAAAACAAGAAAGCATCAGGCAGGAGAAAGTATTCTCGAACGACAACGAAACGGCGTAAACCCAAACCCAGAACCCTTTTTAACTACACATAGATATCCCCATCCAATCCAATCCAATCCAAACCCCAAAAAAAAACAAAACAAAACCGCCGGCCAAAAGCGTTGCAATAGCAAAATTCTTCTTGTTTAGCATTTAAGTAACAAATCATTAACTAAACGAAACAAACAAAAGAAGGGAGCTGCCTGAAGTTGAGGAGAAGAAAAGCAGGGGAGTGAGAATGAACCATGAGATTATAAGGAAAAATTGCAATATTAACAACACACTCTGGCAGCTGTGGAAAGAAAGAAAGGTCAAAGGTTGCCGCAGTCAAATTAGTCGCAAAGCAAAACAAAGAAATCAACCAAACACACAAAAAAAAAACAAAGGGAAAAAGCAAAAAACTATGACAAATTTAACTTTACTAGCAAAAAAAGAAAATGAGAAATTTTAAAAATTTATTAACCTTAAGTAAAACGCAGCAATGAAATCTTCCAAACAAATGAAAACAAGAAATCTGTTAGTTACACTCCAACTTTTTCTACCATAAAAACTTCAAAACTTGAATCTAAAAAAGAGGATAAGGAAAAGGATAAGAAGAAAAACAAAAACAGAATTAAGAAATTAGAGGAGTTCAGTGTCTAGGATTTATACAAGGTGGCCCGATGGGACATCAGTTTGGCTTGATCGAAAACGGGGGCGGGACAAAAAGTATTCGACGGGGCGATCGAGAGGATCTCGAGCATATAATAGATATATATTCATAACATGGAGGCTGCTACAGTATTACAAGAAACATAAAAACATAAAAACAAAAGCTACATACTTAACAAAACGAATGGCAAACAGAGCGCACGTTTAATAATTCTAAATATATATATATCCGTATGTATATGCGATAATTCTATATCTACCTAGATATACACTTAAATATAGAAATTTAACGAATTTTTTTTGTATGTTTTGTGTGTTGTTTTCTACACTTAGAGAACGAAACCCGATTTGATCAAGCCAAACTCGTGCCCCCTGAGAGCACAACTACACACACACAGTGAAAACTGTAAAAAATATATAGAAAACATATAGCAAGATCGAGGGAAAGAGAAAGTTAGCGAACGGAAAACAAAAGTAATACAATAATTTATGCGCAAATTTGAAACGTTTTACTAAAGTAAATAATTGTTAGTGAATATTAATACTGTAATTGTGCGCGTGCAGCGCAGGTATATAGCTTGCTATGTACAGGCAAATGCTGGCGTAGGCACACCTTATATACTTTATATAATGTATAGTTCAAGGAGCAAGTAAGCATAATGAAGGAATAACAAAATACTTGCTAAACCAAAACATTTTTAGCGTTAAAACAAAGCGTAGCACAAACAATTACTAAAAACAAAAACAAAAAACGAAAAAGTAAAGCAGAAACAACCTTTTTTATATGACAACAGTTTAAAACAAAGTAAAAAACCGAAAAAAATATGAAATGGAAAATATGAATGAGGGGCATGAGCAAAAGCATTAGCAAAGCGATTTCTCTAGCCAAGTAAGTTGACAAAGGATAAAGGATAAAGGGAGGGGCGACTTATAGACGAGGATAACTCCCAGCACATCCTACATATATAATAATACCCCATCAATCCCATATCCCGACCTACAACTTTTGTGCAATTTTTGCGTTTTTTATTAGTTGAAACTCTTCTGTATATTTCTTTGCTTCTTTTGATTGTTAAAGCGAGAGAGTGAGACACACACACATAAATATCTACATATATAATTTTGATTCTGGATTCTATATTCTATACTCCGTATTCCGTATTTGAATTAAGTTTTGTTTGATTTCTTTGTTTGCTTTGTATACGAATTGTATTTGAAAATAGGCTCCTGCATATCCAGTCCATAAAACCAGTCAGACCCAACCATGCATATTTATACGAATGATTTGTGTTTGATTTGTTTATAACGTTTAACCTAAGATGACACACAACCCCAACCGATTTTGAGTTCTCTCTCCAAATAGCATAAATTCTTAACCTTAACTTAAGTTTCAACCAGAGCATTGAACAGAACCCAAAAAGCGAAATAGAAATTGATTTAACTTTGAATATTATTACGATACCTAGCGCTATGTGTAATCGGATATATATTACCGCATATATATATATCTCACTAAATATAATTATTTTTTTGTATAACTATAGGCCAACAAAGAAATCTTTTTTGTTTGAACAAAATTCGCAACAAGAACTCTAGTCAGAAGATGGAAAAGAAGAAGATTACGATGAGGGAGAAAGAAGTTTTGAGGCAGCCGCACATGTAGGGAGGAAAACATATATAGTAGATCAAAACCAAAAGAACTATGGCAATTTCTAGGTAATAAAACGATTGATTGAAGCGGCCTGCTCTCCCCTTTCCAAAGATTAAGCCCCTCGAAACCCATAAGACGAGAAGGGAGCAAAGCAAAGGGCAAGCACGAAGTCAAAGGGCAAGGGGTTTCCCCCTACTTTGACTTCCTGCTTCCCCGGATACATTTGCAATACATTATTTACAATCTGCTAGTTTATTTATACACCCACATAAGAAAACACACTGTAGGACAGGAAAGCAGGAAGAAAATCCTGTGGAAGCGAAGATTATGTACTTGATTTTGTTTAATTTGTATTTCTGTCATCACATACTCTCACACACGACACACACACACACATATATATATGTATATGTATATGTATATTCAATATTTAATTTAATTAACTAATCCTTTAATATATATATATACTTATATTTTTTGTCATCGATGATCTAATTAATTGTATTAATTCTAATTCTTGTGCAATAGTTTTAAAATGCAACTAACGGCAAAACAACAGCAACAATTTTTCAAGCATCTCAAACTATAAATTACAAATTATAATTTCATTAAGTGAAGAAGAAAACGAGAAACGAAAAAAATGAATCTTTTACGATTATGTGTAACTTAAAAGTATCATTATTCTATATACCGCAAAACGAGAAAGAAAAGCCAACCACAGCAACTACAAAAAAATTTAACAAAATATACAATTATTTTTTAAGCTAATTCGATATGTATTTCGAGTACATATATTTATATCTCATCATTTTTCTTTACCTATTTAAGTAAGCGAAGAACCAAGAAAACAAACGGAATCGAAACAAAAAACATTATTTATTGTATTTTTATAATTACGTAATTTAATTTAATTCAATTTGAATTCAATATTCCTTTGATTTTGAGCAAAGCGAAGATGAACAAGAAGATTATGATGAAGAATTAGTCTAATTATACACACAACAAAGGAACAGAGAGAGAGAGAAAAAAAGAGTGTCTATATAATATCGGGAATCTATAACTTCCCAGCTCTCTCTCCTCCCAATCTCCCCTTCTCTCGATATCTCTCTATTTACCCCTATGTTTGGTTTAATTTTAATTTTATACCTTGTATTTTATTTTGATTTGATTTCGTTTCAACAAAACCTTTTATGTTTCAGTTTTAGTTTTAATTTATGATTTTATGCTATATGCTATACCCATTTGATTTGTCACAGCAACGAGAACACAACAACCAACCCAGCGGTTTTAGTTGATATCTTAGCTATATACGATCTGTGTGTACATATGTTAACATGTAAACCCACGTTAGTTAAAGATTCCTGTGAATCCTATCGAATGAATATTATGATTACGTTTATTATTATTTAATATGCTTTATTTCCTTTCTTTGATTTTGTGTATTTTGCTTTTTGATCGGATTATGCAACGAATTATGTTTGACAATTACGATCCATTTTAAATTTATGTTTACTCTTATGATTTCATTTGATTTCCGCACCAAACAAGTAAAAAAAAAACACGATGAAAAAAATTTACTTTCAATAAAAAAAAACTTGATGAAAATTTTAGCATCATTTTTATTTATTTGTTACTTTTTGGTTTTGTTTGTTTTTTAAACTGTATTATTTTCCAACCTTGAACTACATGTTTTCCGAATCCTGAAATCCCAGGATTATCTATTCTCTATCTCTCTCTCTCTTTTTGAACACTCAAAAAAACCAGACGATCATTGAAAGATATAGGAATCGATCTAGTCAAGGCCCATCTTTAAAGTGGTGCCATCGGAATCAGTTGATCTCAGCAAAAAGACATTCCCAATCGTCCCAGTTTTGGTTTAGTACTAAATACCAACCCAATGACATGCATTCCAGTTTTTGTTGCTCGGTTTAGAGACTCTGCCAGTTGCGATATTATTTGTGTGCAAAACGAGAATACTTTTAATTTGTGTAATGCCATTATGTTTAGCGCTTATAATTAACGAATCTCATAGTATAGTTTAGCAGAAAAAGTACAGTCACCACTCCCTCGATTTACGTATATGTGGGAACATGTCGCGACATGTTCTGTGTATGATTTTGAACCTGTATCTTTGTATTGCTTAATTGTGTGTAATTTTTGTAATTTTTAGAGCAAAGTTTATCTATCATTTCGATGGGCAGAGAACAGGAGATGCTTAGCGATAGCGTTAAACGATTACACAAATGATACCGTTAATAATCATTGACAACAACAACAAGGATATATATACCTTTCTATATATATTATTATGATTAAAACGATGAAGACGACGGCGACGAGAAGGAGGAAACTATTTAATTTATTTTATTAACATATTTATATCGATTAATTAATTAATTAATAATATTTATCACACATTTCAAATGATATTTCAAAATGGAAAACAATACAAAAAAAAAACGAATACAAGCAAATGAGAAAAAAGATATTAATATTATAAATGTATTTCAAAATATATGATTATGAGTTTTTCTTGCTTTTTGCATATATATGTATATCTCTCTATATAGTATATATCAGAACACACCGAACTTTTGTTTCAAGATTGAGTTGGATTTTGGTTACCTTAACTTTCTGTTCTTCATTTTTTTAGAATTTCAATTCAGACTATGTTGAAAGTTCTTTCGGAGTTATGATTGAGTTCAAATATATTGCTTTCTCGTTGGAACATTAGAATTTGGGTTGTCCTTACGTTTTCTCTCTTTGTAATTTGTCATCATAGACGGAGTTATCTTTGGTTTTTGATTCCTTTCTATTGAAACATATATATTTTTGACAGTGTATCTCACACTTACACACAGCTACACAACACGCTCTCTATTTCCAAAATTTGTTTCAGTTTGTTGTGTGCCCCCCTCTCGAAAAAAGAGTATGCTCTTTGTTTGCTCTTATGATTTCGCTCAGTGTATTTTGAACGTACGCTTCTTTGGTCCCAGTGTATTAAGCCAGCTGAGAAGGAAGATTAACGAGATGATCATGATGATGATGATATGGAGGGCATTTCTTTGAAAGGAAGACAATCCGAACCGAACCGATCCGATCCGATTTTGACATTTGAGTTGATTCCCCTTTCGTTCCTTTCGTTGTGGGTCAACTACTATATACATATACTCCCGATCGATCTGTAGCCGATTTTCGTTTCCGGATTTTCGATTTTCAGTTCGTTGTTGCAGTTGTTATATATATTGTTGTATTGTTCGTATACCTCACTCACTTTTATTGTTTCGTGTGATTTTTCGGTAAGTAATCGGAGAAGATAGCGCATCGGCGATCGGACCGATCTGGCGCCGATCTGTACAATTTTTGGCACACATTTTTTTCCAATAAACATTTTGTCAGCAAAACTGATGATTTCTCTAAATGGTTTCTTTCTCTTTTTATTAATCTATTTGTAGCAAAAAAAAACCAAAAAACTGTAAAGTTAACACATGAAAATCCTGCAGCAAAAAGTATAATAATTTACGAAGCATTTTCTAATTTGTTTCTTTCTCTTGATTTATTTTCAGGCGTGTGTTCTTGTTGTTCGTTCGATTTTGAATTGAATTTATGCAAAAAAAAAGCCAAAAACAAACAAAATATATTTCAAACACATTTCTTCAAATTGAATTTCAATATTTCGATTGAATTGATTAATTGATTACTTGGTTAAAACGATAATGATTGTGTAATTATATTGATTGATTGATACTTTAATATTTAATATTAATTGTAATTATTTAAAGCATAAACCACAGATGACCCCAGATCCCAATCCTTGACTCCCAATCCTGAAACCCCCACGATCGATGTACATATGATGTACAGACATGATTTGTATTTCCCACACATGTACACACAGAGAAACACTTACGTTTTGTATTGTAATTTCAAAAAGAAAACCTTAGCCAGCCACAGATAATTTTCAATTTCAAAGAACTCGAATTTGAAAGCTTTTTCTAGTTTATAGACTTGATTTTCAACCAGCAAAGCACTATCCACCATCCTCACACCCAACCACTACTGTCCATCAGAAACTCAGATAAGTTAACCAAAAGGGTAGTCAGACAGTCGAAATTTTATAACTCTAAGTAATTGCGATTAAAACCAATTTTCATTTGATACAAAGATCTATTTTAATTTGGTGTTATCTAAAGATTGGATTGGATATATTTGTAATATATTTATTTGGAGTTATGAAAATTCAGCTGAGTATCTATTTAGTTGGTCAAGAGCCTTCGTCTGATAATGTATATAAATCTGATTTCGATTTTCGTTCTTATTTCGGTTTTCATTCCGTGCCAGTCATTCTGTCCGTTCAATGTGATTATTTGTGATTTGTCGTGTATTTGGAAATATTCCACAATTAACAAGCCTTTGTTGTATACTTTTTGAGTTCGAGTCGAGAAGAATTTGAGTTTTTCACCAAGCCAATAAGCCACTAAACCGAAGAACAAAAGCACCCACCACGCCAAAAACCCCGTCCCCGTGGTCTTAAATGTATGATGCCTAGTTATAGAGCGCCTATATAGAAACGATATTTAGAACGCGAGAACGTAGAGCTCGGATTTTCGTTTGATTTCCGGGGATTCCCCGCAGCTTGGGTTCCGTTCCTTTTTTAACTGTGATCTGTGATCTCTGATTTGATCTCTCTCTCTCCCTTCAGTTAACTTGTTTTCTACCTTCTCGACTGACTTTCCAAATGCTTGGAAGAAAAGCACGAAACCGAACTGCCCAAGGCAACAAAAGCAATGTGTAAATTAAATAATCTATAAATAAGCAGATTAAAGGTTGATAGCAACTAAACCCAAAGACTGAGGCAAGCACAAAAAAATGAATAATGAAACCAGAGAAAAACAAATCGAAAAACAAGAGTCGAAGCAAAGAATCAAATCAAACAAAAAAAAAGCGAAATAATTCTTAGTTCGTTAAGGCAACTGTGATAAGGCGAACAAACCCCCCGCCAAAAACCCCCCACCCAGCAAACCCCCACCCCAAAACCCCCAAAAAAAAAAGAAATCAAAAAGCAATATATAATATGGAATAAATAACCCCCCCGAGAGACTTAAGTGTGACTTGTCTAGCTGTAAGGCTATAAGATCTATCGATGATCTATGAAAAAAGTGCTCTAACACGGCGTTGTGTATTTGTGTTCCTGGATTGACTCAAATATATATATAAATTTATTAAGATTTATAGAACTTTAAATGAAATCTATAAATTTATAACATTTCCGTCAATATCTCATCATTTTTTGTAGACTTTAAAAATAGATCTACAAATTATTCGAACCCATAAACTATTAAATTTACAAATTTCTAAGGAAAACTTTTTAAGTAAACAATGGAACACAAATACATAAATATTCCAACACTCACCAGTTGGGCGCGATGTCCTGGAGGCCGGCGTGCTGCCAGGTGGTACGGAGTTGTTCCAGGAGGAAGGACACGGGCATCCCATGGATGTTGCCCGACTGCGAGGTGCTATGCAGATTGATGTCCGCATGCGCATCGATCCAGACCAGCGATAAATTTGGCGTGTGCTGCAGGTGACCGGCCACCGATCCTGCAAGAGATTCCCATTCGATTTCTGGACGGAGGATTGGATGGAATGGACACTCACCGAACCCAATCGCATGATCGCCGCCAATGGCCAGGAACTGCGAGTTCTCCGCCAGCATCAGCTTCACCTGCTCGATCAGAGCCCGATTGCAGGCCATAAAGTCCGCGTAGTTCCGGATGTGGTGGTAGTGCACCCGCTGCTGCTGGAGAAGGGGCTCGTCCACGGCATACTGCAGATTACCGTAGTCCCGTATCACCAGGCCATCTAAACAATAAACCATTTATTTACACCAAAATGCTTGCAAGGTCGTTTTATTAATGGGATAGAGAAATATATATATCAGGATCCTAAAGAGGTATTTGTTATATTTTTTTACCGATGATATTATTATATTATATCATATCAGATTTTAAATTAAACTGACGTGAGGTATTATTTGAATCAACGATCTTCTTAATTACATTGGCCACCTAATCGTTCAGTTTTAACATTGTTTACTAATCCCCGACTAATCGACTGGATTTTCAAATAGAAAACATTGGTTACCTTGAGAAAAAAGGGTCTAAAGGTCAACATTTTATGAATTTACACAAGTTACGGAATAGCCCAGCGGGAACATTCCTCTGGAAAATATGATATTTTCATGAGGTTTCTCCATACAAGCGGAAGGGACAAAACCTCATTCACTCCTTACATTTCTTCACGAGGGTGTCACAAAAAGTGAGGAGTAAATGAGGTTTCTATGTGGTTTTCCAAGAGAATTTACATTTGCCCTACACCGTCGCCTGCTAAAAGATGCAGGATTTCCAACACTTTCTGCTAAAAGGAAACCACCTTCTCACTTTCCCGGTGGGAGGTTGAGTAAGTGACCCTATAAGTGCTATCCCCAGGACTCACCATGACTGCTCTGCAGCACCTGACGCAGGCTGCTCTGCCGGAGGAGATCCGGAGCGAGCTCCACGCCCTGTTTGCCCTGTCCCTTGGCGAAGGGCACTCCAATGATGCCCAGCGTTTGCTCCGGTTCGCTGGAGGCGGTGCTCTTGGCCCGATGGAGGCGGAGACACCTTGAGGCTAACTTACGGCTCCACCACATATTTGGGATGCGATTGGGTATTGAACTCGGTTCTGTTCTATGCTGTTTCGCTCTGCTCGCAACGCTGGAAGATCCGCAACTGAGTGGTGGAGTGGAGACGACAGCGACAATGAGCACGAATGACAACTATCTCTTGGGCTCTGGACCTGCCCTGATAAAGCTCGTGTGCGACAGTTCAGCTGAGATCGGCGGACATTGTAGTGGCTGTGTGCGGATAGAGCGAGTGCCGATGGGCGATAAGGCGGCTATCGCCAGATGACCTTGATCCTGGCTCTGACGACAACATCGCGGCGATGGTCAAAGCGACACTCTTTACAAAGGAAAGAGGCATACTATTCAACTCCCATTTCCTTTTCATTCAACAAAATTCCATACAACATATAGTCAATTAAAAAAACAGATTTTAAGCCGAAAACAAAAATAAATCAAAGTCGGCTTAATATAAAAATTAAACCATTTTTATAAACATTTACCTTTGTTTACGACCTCAGGTCCATGTGTTTCATCTGATCAGGAAGCTTGAGACTACACATCCCTTGAATTATTTTTCTCTTCTCCGATTTGTAGGTACAATATTAATTTATTCAGATAGTTGCTTACATAGTTTTAATTGCCATATTTGTGGATATGTATACGATATAGTATATATATATAAGTAAATGCTGCACCTTGTGGAATATAGTTAATTTCCTTCTCTTCATCTTCAACTGCTTTTTGTCTTTGTGTGCTCTGTATAGCTAAAATCGTGCAGTAATTATTATTATATATGCATACATTATTTATATAATTTGTTTTGTGTATATTTGTATTTACGTTTATAAGTTAGGCATATTCAAGAAAATATTACAAAAGCTGTTAACTGGTTTTGTTATGATTCTCTCTTAAGCAAGCTGCACATTTGTTTCTTTTCCTAGCTGTCCTTGTAAAATTGTAATTCTTTTGGAAGTCAGATTAATAGATTGGCCAGAATTTTGCATACAGAGCGCTGAAGTTTGCATGTGTTACTAAATAATAATATGCCATTAATTATGGTTTATTAAACTATTAAGTACTAGGATTCAAAGTAAAATTAGAAAGTAATATCAATCAATACTCCTACTTCTTGTACTAAGAGCTTTTGAGCAATTTAAAACGTATGCTGACATTCATCAGTAAAATAAATAGGTATGATTAAGTATTCACATTGTATTTAATTTATTGCTAAAATACATATAAAATCAAACCGCTCTGCATGCATTTGGCTGGGATTTTTGTTTCTATTTCGCAAGATTCGTGTCACATCTTTTCATTTCTTTTTTCTTTTTCGTTTGCTAGAGTTGCAAGGCTCTCAGTCTTAAGTTAGGTTACGGTTACGCTTACAGTTCTCCTGGCTGGACACAGATAAATATATATATCTCTATATAAACGGGCCATAAGGGTCATACATAGCAGAGAGATTCGCCGAGTGGGTTGGTAGTTGGAGGTCGAAGGTCGAAGATTGGAGGGGCACAACATTCTCTATTTAAAGCTGACGATTGTGATGCATTCTAGGTGCAAGCTCACTAACATTAAAGCGCTGACGTAAATCGCATCCATTGTATATCGAATAATTAGGTTACATTTAAGGGGTATTTATATATGTATATTACACAAAGATAAAAAAAAGGTAAAGGTAGAGCAATGCTTGCGTTGGTTTCTCTTGAAAACGTTTTGAATCACAGTTATGTTGTGTGTGGTTGTCGTGTATTTGCAGTGGATCCTGGTTCAAGTTGGGATTGATTGGCATTGGGACATCCATTGTAATCTAGTGCCTTCGCTTGTTGCCGTGGTTATGCAGCATCACAATCTCGTCGCCACTGTCGTCGGCCACATCCAGTTCCGGCTCCATGTGCGGCCCATCCTCCTCGTCGTCCTCGTCATCCGTGTGCAGGATGCGCTCCAGCTGCTCCTCATCAAAGTACGGCTGTATGGTCATGCCGCCTATGGAATGCAGATAAATCATTAGTATATGTTACAGTTAAATAGCTTCTAAACTCACGTTTAATTGGCGACCGGAAGAGCTCCGTCTCGCCATCGTCGCCCGCCTCATCGTCCTCCAGATCGAACTGCTCCTTGCCCTTTTGCGGCAGCAGCGAGAAGTTGTAGTACGGCTTGTTGCCCCGATGGCGTCGATAGAACCAAAACTGGGCGCACAGCACACAGATGACGACGCCCACGATGATCAGAATGCTGGTGATCAGGATGAACAGGAAGCGCGGCAGTCCGAAGACATGCTCGTTGATCTTCAGGTGGAAGACCACATTCTCGGTGGCCAGGCCGCCCTGAATGAGGTGCATTTGTCGCGTGGCCTCCAGATGACGCGGTGCCTCCACTTTCAGGCTGACGGTGCCCAGCGGCACCGACGACAAACGGTACTGACCCAAACTGTTGGTGAAGTTCCGCAGCTGCGTGTGGCCCACCACCGAGACCTTGGCATTGCGCACCGGATGATTGCTCTCGTCGAGCACCACGCCCGCAATGCTAGTGGTGGCTTTATTGGCACCATTGGGCAGCTCCATGACCACGCCGCGAATAAGCGTGAAGGGATGCATGCGTATGATGCCCATATCGGTGATCTGACCCTCCTGCACGTTCACCTTGATCATTTGCGTCTCGTAGTTGGGAGCGGTCACCTCGAGGCCGTAGAGACCGTGGGGCAGCATCAGCTGGAAGCGCGCCGCATTCCTCGTCACATTGATGATCCTCTCGTGCTCCAGCAGCCGCACGAAGGCCTCCCGCAGCGGCTGTCCCTGATCGTTTTGCACCGAGCCCGTGGCCCCCGTCTTCACCAGAGCCAAAAAGTTCTTGATCTTGTCGATGTTCTTGCGCCAAACGGCGGCGATTTGCTTGTGGTGCGGCATCCGGCAGCAGGAGATGCCCAGCGTATAAACAGGCAGGTTGTACATGCGGTACATTAGATTGGTCAGCCGCTCCGTGGTCTCGCGATGCGCCTGCCTGGTCGCCGAGCGAGGGCACTGCAGGGGCGAGTAGTTGAACTCCGTGCGCTGCATGCCGTGGGCAAACTTCTCCAGCACCGAATCGCCCTTGGGGTAGCTCAGCTCCGAGCTGCCGGCACCGAAGGTGAGCATCAGATCGAAGCGTTCGCTGCGCAGGAACTGCAGGAACAAGTCCTTGGAAGGCTCCGTTTCCGGGCTGAGAATGCGCTCGGCCAGCTCATCGCCCAGCACAGGATCGCAAACGGAGGAGCTATGGGTGGGTTAAGAAAGATGTAGTGAGTCTCTAACCAGGGATTTGCATCTGCCAACTCACTTGGCGTTGTACATAGTAAAGACTTCGTCGAATCTACTGGTCTGCGGCAGAAAGTAGATGACACTGCGCTTGAGCAGATCGACCACAGTGGCGTCCTGCAGCTTGAAGCCCTCGGCCAGGTGACGCACCAGGTTGAGCATGATTTCCCTGCCCAGGGGAGCGGCTGTATCGTACAGGGAGCTCACCACCAGCAGCTTGTACTTGTGCTCCTCGGGTTCGCCGATCTGCAAGGTAAAAAAGGAGTCAGCGGGATGAAGAGAAATGCAAACTAGTTACCCACATCAGAGGTCATCTTGAGGTAGTTGAACGATCTGCTGAACTCATTGTCGCCATAGCCAAAGCTCGCAATCTGCCCATTCTGGTTCTCCAGCTCAGCGAGGCGGGCGCGAACCTGCGGATTCGTGTGGTACCGCGTGTTGACCACATTCTCGATGATCCTAAAGTCATTCGCCGAGGCCCAGTGCTGCGGATCGTCGGGCATGAGGGTGACATCCATGCGCATCTCGAAGGGTTCGCCCTCGGGCACCTCCACTTCCACGCGCAGCGGAGCATAGTTGTCGCCCAGAACGGTGAGATTGTGTCTACCCGGCAGCGCCAGCTTCCAGTAGTCCCCGAATGTCTGACTGTAGCTCGAGTGATTCGCACCATCCAAACGGACGACGGCCCCGGCAATCGGAGTGCCGATGGTGCTGTGCACGAACCCGTGAATGCCATGATGCACCTGCTCGATGAACTGCAGCAGCGGCTCCCGATGCTCCTCCCAGTAGCGCGGCAGTTCGGCGGCCATGGGGAACTTATCGCAACCCATCTCGATGGTCAGCTCCAAGCAGCCTGCCCGCACATAGTTCCAATCCTGCATGCCCCCCGTCACGCTGTACCACTGGGCCCCGTTCGTGATGCCGTCGCTGAAGAACTCGTTGCGGAAGAGCTCGCACGGCTGGCCCAAATGCATGGTGGGATGGGCCCGCGAATAGATACCGGCCAGGTGCCGGAACAAAGCATTGTCCTCCGTCGGATTGGGCTTGCGTCCGTTGATGCTCGAGTTGCGCAGCCTCATGAACGGATCGTTGAAGTCGTTCTCGTTGTCGTCGAACGGATAGTTGGCCACCAGCGAGCCGCCGTGCAGATTGGCGGACAGGACGAAGGGCAGCGACAGGGTCCAGTTCATCAGGGCCGCCACCTCGGGCTCCGTCACCTTGTTGAACCTATCGGTGCCATATTGATCCGGGAAATTGCGGTTCAAATCGATGCCATGCGCATTCGCGCGTCCCACGCCGCCGGTTCGATCGCCCTCGATGGAGATCTCATAGCCATCGGGATTCATGCTGTACAGAAAGTGCATCCGAGTGCCGTTCACCAGCCTGGTGATCCTCTCATCGTTGCCATAGCGTTCCAGCATGTACTTGGTGAGCAGCAGGAGGCACTCCTTGCCCACAACCTCGTTGCCGTGCATATTGGCCACGTACTTGAACTCCGGCACTCCGGGGACATGGGAGCCCGGGGTGGCGAAGATCTCCAGCACCCACAGATCGCGATCCTGGACACTTTTGCCGATGCTGTAGAGCCGGGTGATCGAGGGATAGCTGGCGGAAATGTCCTTCAGGAAGCTGAAAGGGCGAGAATAAATAAGGATTAGTTAAAAGGTATTTAGGATCAGAATTAAAATTTTATAATTTAGTTTATCTGTATATCCATGTCATTTAAGCCTACAAAATATCAGATTGATATGCGCTGGTTAATTTTATATTTTTTTAAGATCAAGTGAATATTAATTTTAAATTTATTACTTTATATTAGTTGTTTAAAAAATACTACATTTGGTTTTTCATATGATTTAATAAAACATCATGTTGATATGCTTGAATCATAAAATTGACATTAATCATATTAGCTTAATTTTATATTTTTTAAAGATCAAGTTATTCATTTTGAATTTTATTACTTTATATTATTTGTTAAAAAATACTACATTTGGTTTTTCATATGTATTGATAAAATATCATGTTGATATGCTTGAATCATAAAATTTACATTAATCAGCTTTAAATTGATATCAAATAAGGTAGAATTGACCTTATTTCATATCGATTTTTTTTTATGTCTGTAATTCTCACCTCTCCATGGCCGTAAAGTTGTGGTGCTCGAACTTGGTGGGCGTCAGGAATCCATTGAACTGCTCCTTGCGCTTCTCTGGCGGCTCCGAGCGCTCGACCTTTACCTTCCGGAAGTTGCCTGCGGGAATTGGGAGAGCGGAAACGGAAATGGATGAGGATGTGTTGTACGTGTAAGCATGCCTGTTTCTCAAGGGGGATGGCGCGGTGTTGTGGGGGTGCCACATGCGGGGGTGCCTAGTGAATTCGGAGTGGTGAGGATGGGATGCAGTGCGTCTAAGATTCAGCGACGGCAGAAGCTAAAATCAGCAGCAGAATCACAAGCACAAGCGGATGCATAGAATATCCTTCATTTATTTTGCAATAATTTCATAGTTCACATTTATTTAAGATAAAATCCAAGTAAAATGCCAAAGAAAATGCTTGACTCTTGTTGACGATTAAGTGCCATATACACATACATTCATATTCATATATATATATATATATAAAACATATCCATTTCGAAATCTAGAAATATAGTTAGACTTTTGGCACACACGCTTTTCATTCGTTTTTTTTTTTTGTAATTTTTAGGTACTTAGTGGAATATACAATTAAAATTTCTTTAGATGTGACTTTACATTTCTCGGACACGCCCTCAACTTTGGAACGATTGCAGGGCAAAGGATATATACAAATATATGAGATCGGCGAAGGAAACTGAAGGAAAAAAGAATAGAGATAGAGATGTAAAGCTAAAACTAGTATAAATAGAATAAAGAAAAAATATCTTCAAAATCATAAAAATAGAAAAATCCAAATTAAAAATACTATAGGACAAAAATGCAGCCATCAGAAGAATATTTAAAAACTATAGATTCTAAATGTTAAGAAATGGGATTATAAAATGTGGCGACATACCAAATAAATTAATATTTAAAATGAAACCAATGGAAAATGAAAAAATGAGCCATGGATGAAAATAAAACGCACCAAGCGAAAATCAAAGTTTTATTCATCCTTAGCAAAGGATTTGTGGAACCCCTCAATACTTTCAGGCCGTTCCATTATTCTTCATTGGATTTTAGCCAGGTCTCGTCAACATCGTACACATATACATAAATATATTAAAAGCCATACACGAGCATGTGTGCTACATAAATAGTCGGATCGTAATTGATAATAATTTCGCTTTACTTTCGATTTTTTTTTTTGCTTTTTTCGTGAAATTCTCAACAATCTTTTCTGATAGGATTAACCATATGGTTCGCATACAATCTATATCGATAGTGATATTATATAGAGCAGTATGTGTATAAAGTGGGTATATATGCGTGGGTTTTTTGTGTGGTTTATCGTAGTTTTTTTGCTCATCATTGCTAAAATACTCCACAATAGGTTTCGGGGAAGATAAGGGGACTTTGGAGATCAAGCTAAAACCGAATAGTATTGGATTTTTGTATTTTGTTCGTCTAGGGTCATTCGATGACCTTAAGTGGGTTGATTTCTTTATAAGTTCCTAAGTACAATTCGCTTATTCGATTATTGTATTTTATTTCGTTTTTTGGTTTGGTACTTCTATTTGTTCGTGTTTTCATTTAATTCTCTATGTACAAATCAAACGCTGCTTTTCGCTGAGTGTGTGCGAGACAGAGACAATGGTGTGAAAGAGATAGAAAGAGGGACTGAGACAGAGACAGAGAGCTAAAATAAGCCGGCAGTAAAGCGTGTAAAAATCGCTATAAACCCAGGAGATTCCAAAAGTGAAAGTAAATGGAAATGCAACATAAAAACAAATGTATAAAAATACAGAAAACATATACATATATATATAAACAGATTCGAGGAAAACCCAAAAGCCGATACGCTTCCACACGAAAGCCCAAACATTTTATATTTCCCAATGGCTCTCGTGGGGAAACCCACCGAAATTCTGGATGAAAGAGCTTAAAATGAACATGCCAAAGGGATTTGGATTTGGATTTCGGGAAATGACGGAGATAACATATATAGTACAAGGAATTGTGCGGAGTGAGCAGGAGGAGCAGGCCAACTAGGTGCAGGTGGTCATGGCATGTGGCTATATGTGTGTGGTATGGTGTGGTGTTTCTAGTTGTTTTAGTTTTCTAGCTGGCGACTAAAATACATATGCGCATATATATATGTATATCCGTTGCAGCCCTCTCTAGAAATAATAGGGACTGTAAAAACTGCTAATACCATCAAAGTTCGTCTCGACGGGCGTCAGCTTGAAGTCCAGCCGCAGGGCCTCCAGGTTATCGTTGGTCACCCGCACTTGTTGGGGGGCACTGGTCTGGTAGCTATACAAAATTAATACAAAATTAGTTAGAGTTTCGAGATACCTCAAATCAGTAGACAAACCCACCCAAAGGCTGCCGCATGCACGCTATACAGTCCCGGTGTCAAGAGCCTCCAGTATTCGCCCCGTTTCGAGGTGCGCATCGGCTTCTCCTCCAATCCGGCCACATAGATATTGGCATCGGGTATCGGGAAGCCGCTTACGTCCGTCACCAGACCCTTGATGCCGATATGCGCCTGGCGCAGCAGCTGCAGCAGCGACGCCTTGTTCCGCTGCCATTCCTGGGGCAAAGTGCTGGCCGCCGGATATTTGCAGCACGACAGCTCGATGGTCAGCTCAAAGCAGTTGCTGAACGCATAGTTGAAGTCCTGCATTCCGCCGGATAGCTCGTACCAATTGGCCCCGTTGGTAATGCCGCCCGAGAAGCTGTCGTTGCAGTTGTTGCCCTTGCTCATTATCGGATGGTTGTCCGAATAGGTGTGGGCCAGCTGCTTGAAGACCCGATCGTCGGGGGTCAGACTCTCCTCACAGCACTCGTTGTGGGCCCTAAAAATATCAATTAGTTTGAATGGGTAACAGGAATGGTTTAATATATAGACCTACAGCGAGTTATCGTAGGGATAGCTGGCGACCACGGCTCCGCCGTGAAAGTTGGCGGACAGCACGAAGGGCTTGCTGACAATCCAATTGACCAGGGCCGCCGTTTCCGGCTGACGGGATTGGGCGCGCAACTGGTGGACATGACTCTGGTCCAGGCGATCGGGGAAATCGCGATTCAAGTCGATATTGGCCGCATTGCCACGTCCCACATAATTGGGCAGCGATTCGCAGTTGCCCTCCTGTAATTCAAATAAATAGAAATTTATTTATTAGCAAAGTTTGAATTATAAATTATCTTAAAAAGATTTAAAAATATTATATATATAACCGCCAATTAGTAAACAGTTAAAAATAATTTATATATATGACTCAAGAGTCATGAATATTGCAAATTAAATACCATAAGTACCTCGTATTTAAAATAAATTTGTAAAAGGTATTACTACAAAAATTGTTTATAGATATTGTTTTATACAATATTATCATTATCATTATTTATTATCATTATATATATAATACATCAGTTCATCAGAGAATAACCAACGGATGATGATGGGAAATGCCCATCTGTTTCAAGTTAAAAACTTAAAAGTTTCTCTTTCGGTCTTTCACTCTCTGTTATGGGCTGATTGGCATGCAGGTCAGTCCTGACCGGAATTGACCATTTAGCATGGCAGTCAGGTGTCAACCGAGTGATTACACCATAACAGTCGCCGCGAAAGAAAGGCCCCCGGATCGATATTCGATAATAATAACATTGTGCAATGGAGCAGGGAGCAGGCAAAACAGAACGCATCACATTTTGTCCCCCCTTTTTTCCTGGCCCATCGGAAAAGCAATCAATCAATCAATCAGAGCAAAAACTATAGTTGTATGGACATCGGGAAAGTGGAAAACAACACAATAAAATCAGAGGGCTGAACCAAATGGGTTCTTTCCCCTGTGGACTATATAGACCGTGGACCATTGACCATTGCATAATTGACAAATTACACCATTGAAGGGCCAACTTAAATGGATCATGTCATCATTATAGCCACAATGATCACGCTACCGATCGGAAGCTAGCATGGGAAAACACAAAAAGGGCAGTTGTGGGATAAAACAGATGATAAAGAAGGGAATAAATGAAATTGGAAGAGAAATATTCGTTATAAAGGTCGAGCCTTTCCTTTAAGCGTAATAATCAAAATGAATCACGGAAACTTTGCCCAATTTTACAATATAAATACATACAATGATTCATATTTAAATGCGTCAAAATTGTATTGTATTTATTAAAAAATGTTTATGACTTCTTGAGTTTTTAGAGAATTGTATGAATATTATTCATAAGAATTAGAAACATTTAAAATTGAGTAATATTTGTCAATTCAAAATAAGCATCTCTAATCCACACTTTTCGAGTTTTCAAATAAGAAACATTTCGAAATCTATACAACATATCTTGCAATTTTCAATAGAACTCATCATTACATATAGTTTCTGATTAAAATTGGGTTAAACACAGAGATTATTGTTTTAAGTCTATACTTATATGCTGGTATTTGCTTGCATATCGCTAATCAATTGAAAATACCCGCGAGAGCATCGTATTAATCTGACCTTTGGGGATGTGGCAACAACAATGGCAAATCGGGTGAGATAGACTTCAATAACCAACGTCGTGCTTGTGTTTACTCCACATTATTCACACGATTCAAGAAGTTAATGATAAACAAACGAGCAGAAAATAAGAAATCAGGTGTGTTTCTGGTCAATATGTCAACACTTTGAATGGGGAGTGTGCCTTGGCCTAACGCAATTGATAAAAAAGTGCGAACTTTTGGTTGGGTTGTGTAGTTGTTTGTTAACTTGAAATGTTTTCCAAGCAAATGCCTTATTTTATACGTTTTTTTTTTGTCAAATCCGGGAACCATAAACATTTGTGTAGATAACATTTGAAGTTATCAAAAAAAAATCTCTTAAAAAATTGTTTATATTTCTACGGCAGATGAAAGTGGGGTTTTTGGTGAACTTTTTTATACTATGCATGACGATGAGTAAATTAAATTAATTAAGGAAAAACCCTTATAAATTGAGTGAGTATTATTTTGTATACATCTTTTCAATCTGCTTGCTTTCGCATACTTTGTTTTCTTAGAAAACAAATGAGAGTCCTTGTGGCCTTTAAAACTCCTTAATATATCAGTATTCCTAAATCCTATAGTGCTCCCGTTCCCACTCCCAGTTTTTAACTGCTGCTCCCGACGAAACAAAAAAAAACTCCCTACAGTTCTCCCGCTCGCACTTTCCATATTTCCCGAAGGTTTCCCGAAAAAACCACCCACTTATCGATTTTTCACCCCGCAAAGTCCGAGACACAACAAAACAAAACAGGCGCCCCAACAGGTGACCCCGAAATCCGAAATCCGAACCCTTCTTTACCTGGGACAAGGCATAGCCATCCGGATTCATGGTGGGCATCAGGTAGATGTCCGTACCATTGACCAGCTGGCCCAGTTCGGTGATCCGTTCGTGGTTCCCGAGCAGATATTGGGCCAGATAGACGAGGAGCTGCCTGCCCACCGTTTCGTCACCATGCATATTGGCAATGTATTTCACGGGCGGGGTGAGCAGATTTCGCGACCTGGTGTTGCGGGAGATTTGCAGGGCCAGGAGATTCCTGCCCTCCAGGGAGCGACCCAGGTAGTGGACGCGGGCCTGGTCGGGATAGGCCTTCTCCAGGCCGGCGAACAGATCCTCCAGCTGCTCCTGGCTGACGTAGTGCGGCTGCTGCAGGAAGGACTCGTCCTCCTTGATGATGTAGCCACTGCTGTAGGAGATTCCGCCCGCCAGGAGGCAGACCACCATGGAGGCGAACAGGAGACGACCCACGGGAGATGACATCTTCTGATGATTGGGGCAATCTGGTCGAGATTGCGTTCTTTTTATCACTGGCGTGCGATTTTGAGCGAGATACAGTTATTTTTCTTCGGCGGCAGCTCCGCTCTCCTTTCTCCGCTCTCCTCTCTCCGCTCGCTTGCTCTCAGTGGCTCTTTTGTCCGTCGGGCGTCCGTTCGTCGTGGGTCGTCGTTGCAGCTCAGCCTCGAAAAATCAACTGTTTGAAAATTTGCTGCGTTGATTGGCCTTAAGCGCCCATTCGCCCGCCGCCTCAGCCGCTGCCGCTCTGCCGCGGTCGACGTCGCACAGTGGAGCGGAGGCAGCCGAAAAGCAAACATGGCCATTTCTCCATTATTTATGTCATAAAATAAATCGATTACCCATAATTTTGTATTATTTAATTTTGTATTAATTAAAAACAATAAAATACGTTTGCAAATAAGTTTTAAAAACTTGTATAATTTCCACTTATTTATTTTACATTTATTTCTATAATTTTTTATGTTTTGAGCGTAGGTTTTTTTTTATTACTATCAAAGACTTAAGGAAACATAACATTTTTTATTTCGTTAAAAAAGTTTTTAATGCTTACATTCTTTAGCTGTTTCAAGAAATTATAATATAAAAAAGTTTTCTGGACATTTTTTTAGTTCCTTCACCCCACTGTGCGTCGTTCCAAGAGAGCAGCCCCAAAAGCCAAAAGAGAGGCGCTAATTGTAGGGAAATTACACGCCGCACCGAGCGCCAAAGCCATCAAAAAACCGCTCACGGAAAAGCTTTACTTTTTTTGTCAGCTGCCACGGGATTAATAGTTTATAGTTTATTTAGGCGCTTTTAATTGTGTTATTATCATTCGCCGGAGGGGGAGGTGTTGCCAGACTGAAAAAGTGGGGCGCCTGCGCATGTGTACGTGTTGTGATGGGACGAAGAGGTAGAGAGAGCGAAGAGAGCAACCCACAACGCACGTTAACAGGATATTTTTACACAGAAAATCGATTCACTCCCACGCCGTGACGTCACAGACAGCCCCTCCTGTGCGTGGGTTACAAGCAAAAAAAACCCAAACCCAAACCACCCACACAAATGCACATACGCCTTATCGATAAACAAACGAAATTGGCACATTCACCAAATTGAGAGCGGCAAATCGCTGTTATCAGTGGAAACGAATGGAAGCGAGCATATGGCCACTTTCCAGCCACCCCCTCTCTCTACCTCTCAGTTCTATTAACCATTTCCATTGATTAACGACTGGTGCGAATACAAAAACAAATGTTAAACTACGATCTGTTTATTGGAAAGCAGAGAGAAGGGGGCTGAGCGGAAGAGAGCGGGAGAGTGGAATGCACTTCCTTGAGGAATTGCGGTTTTTCAGGTGGTTGTGGGAATTCGAATCGGGGATACCCTGCGATTTTAAGATTTTAAATTGTTGTTAATTTTATAATTATCAAAAAAAGTTTGCCAAAAAATTAGGAAATGATTAATGTTCAAGAATTCGGAAGTAAGATAAGATTAGGAAAATTTCCAAGGCTTAATGGGAAATTTAAAATTATAGTAAATTTTATTATTCTATTGATAAGATAAGATTAGGAAAATTTCCAAGGCTTTATGGGAAATCCCAAATTTGTATTAAGAGATTAGAGAAATTAAAAAAATTTTTTTAAGAGCTGATAAGAATTCGAGTTGAGACTTACGAGAAATACCAGTCTGTAAAAGAGACACCTGTAATTTAAATTATCTGCATTCAATTTACACGTCTTCTGCAGATACCTGATTTATGTAATCTGCATTATGTTAGCCGAACGAACAGCTGTTGATTGGCAAGTGCACTTCGGGCAATAAAAAAATGTAAATAAAAAAGACTGTCAGCGCGCGTGTGCAGCGGAAATTGGCAAACTTTTTAGCGCTCTTAACTCTCGGTAGCAAAACCCCATCAACATCGAAAACAACAATAACAACAACAACAAAAACGAACCGGTTGCGAATAAAGTGTCTCAATTGCAGGGAAATAAAGTGAATAAAGGCACGAACGTCATCGGTGGTTTACTTCTGCTGCTGTTGCTGTTATTGTTATTGTTGTGACATCTAACCAGTTTTCTTGTAAGGTAATTGCCATTCGCACCCGCTCAATGTTCCACCCCCCGTTGTGTCGTCAGTGGTGTTTATGCCACCGCGTTGCAATTGCGAAATCATGACGTCAGCGAACCGACAAACTATGTTTACTTTATCACCAGATTATTGAAGAGGCCATAAAACTGTCACCAAGATACGCACGCCAGCACACAGCGAAAAATGGCAATATCCTCGGATTAAAGTCTTAAGATCCTTTCAGATTTGATATTATGATATAAGAATTTAATATAATTATACTCATATTTAATTCCAAATGGATGATTAAAGACAGTTCTAGGTAGAACCAAGACCAAAATTGAATATTGTACACTTGTTCATAAGCATATCTTATGGGAACTCTAAACTGACAGGGGATTTTTAAGGATTAAAGACAGTTCTTCATGGAAAAATATAATATCATGTTCTTTATGATACTATAAATCAATTCAAACAAAAGTAGTAAATTTTCGCCGAGTGCATGTCACACTCAACAGCCTGCTTAATTTGTTTACCAACATTTTAATCTAATCAGAGTCAGAAATTGACCATTGAAGTGTCAAAAACGGCGCAGAACAAGGCCATTCTTAATATTTACAAGCCAAACTAGAAGTCATTGCGAGTGCAATAGTTAGAATTCTTAATTTGAACAGCTTTTTCAAACTCATTCAGCCATTAAGGCCCATGTGCAATTTATGTACATATACAGTTGCCATTAAGGCAAATAAAAAACCAGACAAGATCCACAGAGATCCCTGGCAATTAGAACGCTGATAAGGCTAATAATAATGCCCGTTTAATTGTTTTTACTTTTGCGCTGTTGTTTGCCCACTGAAACTGAACTCGAAACTTGGCAGCGTGTAAAAAAAATTCGCCAGTTCAAAATCGTAGTATCATCAGATAAATCTTAATGAAAAGAATTGTAGAGATGTGTATAACAAGTGAGCTTATGGAAATATAGAACTGTGTAGCGCCAAAGAAATCATTTTAATTATCCCAAAATTAAATTGGGGATTTACCTCGAGTAACAAAGGAATTTCCAATATTTTTAATGATGCTGGGAACGAAAAATATAAGGAAAATATAAGGCAATAAGTCAAAGCAATATATTTTTTTAGCTTCACGATTCTTGGAATTCCTTCCTTATCAAAGGGGGCATTCGAAGAATTTAAATAAAAAAAACAAGACTCTTTGGAAACAGTTAAATATCAATAGGTATTATTCCCAGAGAAATAATAATAACTTACTGAGAATTCTTTCCTCTTAAAAAAATACATTGTGGACACGTTTACGGTAAATGTATTATCTCTTTCGCTTTCCATTGTTTATTCAAACAAAAATGAGACCTCTTTAAAAACCATTACTTGAGTGCATTGAAGAGCCCTTGGGATCTGTTGTAGATTAACAATTGGAGGGGCACTCGAATGGCACTTTGCTGAGACATCGAGAGCGAAGAGCTGAAATGCAGTATCTCACCTAAGATTTGTGGAGTCTATTTGGAATTCTTGGCTGCTAATTGAGTGATCATACACGTTGGTTAACCACAAGCCGGAAAAAGTGGGTCAAAACATTCCAATCACACATTCTATGTAGTTGGGGCTCCCCCCTCTCTATTACCTTACTCTCTTTTTATTTCTCGGCGGTAAGCAAAAAAGACCAGCGGGTTTCAGTTCAGACAAAAGCTCGGCAGATCGAATGAGAGAATCGAGAGATAGAGGTGTCTATATATACACTGAGAAAAAGCAGAGATCTAATATGGTCTAGTCGGGAAAAAAAATATGGTGAGAAAGTAAAAATAGGAGAAAATATAATGTATAGTTTTGTGTAAACGACAGAGTTTTAGTTCATAATTGTTTAGATGTAAATTTAGGATCCTATAACCATAGACTAGTGGTAAAAACAATTATAAGGAGAAATCGAACAAAATTGTTTACTAACAGTTAAGATTTTTTGTTTACTAATGTTGAAGATATTTTTGTTCGATCTATGTCAACAGGTTTTTAGTTCGATGCTGAATGCTAATGAATAAAATAATTACGACCATTTTGAGAGTAAATATGAATTTGATATGGCTTGTGTGAACTTTATGAAGAGAAGCTCATGATTATAATATTTTTTCTCGGTCTAGGTGATCTGTAAACTGTCGATGAAAGGGGATTTTTACAATGGGGTGGGGCAGCAGCAGCCGCAACTTCGAGTCATTTTACAATCACTTTTTATTTTTGCCCCACCAGCTGTTTTTTTTTCTTGTTTCCCTCTTTCTTCCGTTTCTATCCATCAAAGCAGGGGAATAAAACCAGTGACTCACCTGGGCCCTGACGAATCCATCGGGATTACAGGTGGGCAGGAAGTGGATTTCGGTGCGATTGAGCAGCGCCTGAACCTCCGTATCGCCATCGTAGTGGGAGGCCAGATATTCGGCCATATAGAGGACCATTTGACGACCCACCGTCTCGTCGCCGCGAATATTCGCGACCAGCTTGACCATGGGCCTGAGTAGATCCCCCTCCTTGGACTCCCCGGTGGGTGCACTCAAGGCCAAAGCGTAGATGGGTCGATCCTCCAGGGATTTGCCTATCGTATAGGTCTGCGCCAGGTCGGCATAATCCTTGGCCAGCTGCGAGAAGAGTTCGCCGATTTCCTGGTTCTTCAGATAGTGCGGCTTCTCCAGGAAGTTGTCCATTTCCTGCACCACCCTCACCTCGCTGAATTCCCCGGCTGCGCAGCCGAGGATTACTGGGATTAGGAGAAAACCCCACATTTCACGGGGCTTCCGCTGGGGTTCTCGGTATTTCTAGACACGTAGGCAGCCCAGTAAACAATGATAATCGAAACGCAGGCGCGCCAGCTCTCAAACGGATTAATGGCTAGGAATTGGGGAAAATTGGAATGGTTGGAATTCCCTAAGACACCACTTTCTTGCACTTTCTCAATGCAAATTTTCAAACCTTTTTTTTTTTTGCCACAAACACGACACGCACACACACACACACTCACACTCGGTGCACCGACACGCCGACGCGCACACCTACACACGTACACACACTCGCGCAGAGCCGCAGAATATTTTGCTTTCTTTTCGCTTTTATCCGTTTCGTGAAAATTCAATGATTTCCCTCAACTGCCGACTATGATTTTCACGCTCCCTCTACAAAAACAGTTGCAAAAACAAGTGCATTTCATTCCGCAGAAACGGCAAAGCAAACAAAAATAATAAAATAAACGTAAATGAAGTGACGAAGTGACGAAACTACGCGAACGCAACCGCGACCACAGTATGGCGTTGCCAGAGCGTCGTTGGCGAAGAGATGCCGGATGTGTGGCAACTTGGAACATAATGGCGGGAAATTTGAATATATTTTGCACAACTGCTTAACTTTTTATTTTCTCTGGTAAAACGAACACAATGTTAACCAAAAACAGGTTGCCATTGTGTGTAGCTTAAAAATATGTAATGGTTGATTAGCTTAAGTGGAAAATCAAGATTGTCCTAAATTAAAACCAAATACTGGTCTGAACAGCTAACAACCTAAACTAACGATCCACACCACTTTCTGGAAAATGTATTTTTTGATCAATTTTTGCATCATGATTTTCTACGAAAAATGGCAAAAAAATAAAATGTCCATGTTTAAATGCCAATCGATTGGAAATTTCAGAAAGGTACGACAATCTATATTTGGATCTATATTTCCATTGTTACGTTCAAAAACGAACAATATTTTTGTGAAAAATTGGGATCTGGGTTTTTGGTAAAAAAAGGAATTTTTTCTTTTCGTTTTTTTGCTGTAACTTGGCCAAAAATGGTCCTACACCAAAACATTTGCAATAAATCCATACAACTTTTCGTGGGATTTTGGAAAAATAAAATTTTCGCCAATTTTTAATTTTTTTATAAGGGGGTACCCCATAATTTTTTGCGAAAAATTAAAAATAAATAAAATGTCAAGGTTTAAATGCCAATCGTTAGGAAATTTAATAAGGAGTTCAGAAAGGTATGACAACCCATACTTTGAATCAGTATTTGCTTTGTTTTAGCGAAAAAACTAGAAATTCGGGATTTCAGTTTTTGACAAAAATTGGAATTTTTCTTTTGGTTTTTTTGCTGTAACTTGGCTAAGAATGCATACTGTTTTGAACAGATAACAAAATAATATCTTAATGATCTTAAAAAAATAAAATTTTTTTAAATTTCCAATCGATTGGGAATTGTATTACGAGTTCCACGATGTATGACACTCCATATTTGCACTATTATTTTCTTTGTTTCGGACATAATACTGATTAGTTTTAGTGGAAAGTCAGGATCAATTAAATTGGTTGTAAGATTATAAATGGTCCAAAAACTAAGATCCCATCAGTAAAAAGCCACCGACCGTTAAGGTAATGTATAGTTATCTTATATTTGACAGTCATAGACATAAACATATTTCTTTATAGCGATATACAAAGTTTGCACAACGATTTAAAAAAAAGATTAGAGTAGAACAAAACTGGTCTCTAGATCACATTGTTCGACCCATCGGAAATTTGGTTAAACTGCCGGTTTTCTACACACATAGATGACCAAACTCTTAACTTTAAGAACTCTAACGAGTGAATATTACAATGTAGTTGCACAAATTATCTTATTTGAACAGGTTGAACCGTTTAAAAGGTATAGTTTTGCTATTTGAGACAGTCGAGGTCGACATGAGCATTGGTTGTGGTGATCGAAGGGGTTGAAAACATTAAAGGGATATCGCATCGATTACATTTAATACTTGGCTTGGACTAAAGTTCATCGTTCATCGTTTTCACTTCTGGGATTATGTTACAATTAAACTAGACACGGAAAGTACAGCGACTAATCTCGGGATAAAACTTATTTACAATGATAAAGAGCACCGCCTCGCAAGGATCGATTGCAAGCTACACAAATTACAGGCACACGATCACAGGATCACAGGATACAAGCAGACAGACAGGCGGCGGCGGGAGCAGTACAGGATTTACAACTAGGATCAGAGGTTCACCACATTCTTGAGATCCGGCGGCAGCAGCCCCTTCATGCACTCGATCTGCGCCCGGATCTGCTGCTGGGTGCCAGTGCCAGTGCCACTGATCCCCTCCAGCTGCTGCGTGCCCGGCTTGTCGCCATAGAGATTCAGTTTCTGCTTGAGCTTGAGTATCATGTCGATGATCTCCACCTCCTGCTTGTCATGCGCCCAGTGCTCCAGATTGGCCTCCGACAGCGCCTGCAGCTGGAGGTCCTGCAGCGTCAGTTGCAGCTCCCGGTGGCGTGCCTCGTACCACCCGCGGAAATTGGGCGATCGAAAGAAGCGCCGATACAGCCCCTTCCAATCGCCCTTCAGCGGCGACGTCAGCTGCGGCCCCGCCGTCTCCAGCGTGGCCAAAAAGTCGTCCAGCTTGAAGCTGCTCGCATTGGGCGCCGACTTGAACGGACTGATGTCCTTCTGCAGCGGCATCAGCGAGGCCATGTACCGCTCCAGCGGGATCATGAAGCTCTGCGTCAGCTCGAGCAAATGGCGCCGTATCAGCGCCGTTTGCACATGCTCCGGCCGCTTGGTCTTCATGCCCAGCAGCACCTTCTTGATCAGCGCCTTGTCCTTTTTCAGATAGGCCCGGTATTTGCTATGCAGCCCCGCGGTGGAGGCATCACCAGTTCCATTCGAGGAGCTGCCATTCAGGCCGGAGCCGGACTTGGCGGAGCTGCCCGAGAACGAGGTGGCCGAGGCGATAGTCCGCGCATGCTTCTGGCCCATCAGCAGTTGCTGCTGCTGCTGCATGTTCTTCTGAAAGCGAGCGAGATGGAGATAAGTGTTCCAAAGTAGCTTAGCTAACTCACCTGGTTATCCACCAGCCGCAGCATGTGCGGCCAGTCCTTGAGCAGCTTGACAAAGAACGGATTGGTCACGCCCAAAATGCAGGCGGGCAGCGTCGCCTTGCCGCCGCACTCCTGCGTGAACTCCCGGAACTCGCTGTCGTGGATGGTGAAGTAGGGACGCGCCTCGGCGCAGTACTCCAGGGGGGAGATTAGCGCCAGGAGCGTCTGGACCATGTGGGAGCAGTCGGCGGGCGAGGTGCCCACCACAACGATGGGCTCGCCGGTGATGACCAGCTCCCACAGCGTGTACAGCTGCTCCATGCAGAAGTCCAGCGAGTGGAAGAGCTCGATTTCATTGACGGAGGGTAGAACTTTCGTGGTGGTTGCCAAGCAAGCGGCTGGCGGGGATTCCTCCGCAGCGGATTTCCTACTGCTGCTGGTGGTGCGGGGAATGCACACCTGGTAGCTGCACTCCAGCAGCGGCAGCTGGAGCGGATGGCCCACGCGCAGGGCTGGCCAGTGCCTGTTGATCTGCTCGCTGGCCGAGCGGAGGACATCGGTGCCCTGGTCAAAGTAGCGCGGCGCCAGCTGGGCGAGCAGATCGTAGTAGAGATTGAAGAACGGCAGCCGCGTGATGATGATGAAGCTCTTCTGGAAGTAGCCACGCGGCAGATTGGCATCGCGCTTCTGCCGGAAGTAGACGAAGCCCCAGTAGTGGGAGGCATCCTGGCGGAGAGCGGGGGAGCACTCGGCATTGTAGCCTGGCAGGGATTCGGGGCGTGTGGTGCAGCGCAGTCGCATGTGGAACTTGGTGTCGCCCATGCAGCCGGAATTCGAGTCCGGGAAGGCCATGTAGCAGATGTTGCTCACCTCCTGGTCGCTGGGCATGAACTCCGGCGGATAGACGTGCTCCAGGGCCTGGCCGAGATTCAGATCGAAGGTGACCACGCAGAAGCAGTGCATCCACTGCGAGAAGTTCACCCAATCGCTGGTAGTTGGCCGCGGATTCGAGTTGCTGGCATCGACATCCTTTTCCTGCTCCTTCTCCCCGATCCTTGCATCCGCGCTCATTCTATATCCTATATCCTATATATATGTATTTTGTTGATATTTATCTGCCTGCGACATTGACAAGGGGAATCAGAGATGGGCAATCGCAGTGGCTGCTACCTGTTCACCGTGACCGTTATCATCGCCAGTCACGACTTTATAGATTTTTTAAATTGATTAGATAAAGCTGAGCTATGTTTACTCATTGGTTACTTCCTTTGAGTGATTTGTTTTAATAACTAATAATACTTAATAGTTTTTTTAATTTTTTCTACATGTTTTTTCAGAAATGTTTGCCACTTTGTAGTACCAATTACTCATCACTATTTCTTTATTTATCATTTCAAAACTTTCACTTTTTTGGTTATTCATTTCTGCTTTTCACTGGCGCTGCCTTTTTGGCGACATGTCTCTTAGATGAGAGAAACCAAATAACAAGATGGACTTGAAAACTAATGAATATGAAAAACTACAATTCTGGAAAATAGGGAAAATTTGGAAATAACCTAGAGATCATACAACAATTTATAAGTCTTTTAACTCATCTTATTAATAAATAAATTATTAAAAATTATATGATCATAAAAAGGGAAAATGGTTTTCACCACCATTAGTGATGTTCAATTAGCTTAAAAAAAGATTTCAAGCTATCTAGCTAGATCCTAAGTGTTGGCTAATAAAAGGCTACTTTTAGCCAGTGCGCCACCACTACTAGTGATGTGCGATTGGCGCAGTGTTTTATTTTTAAAATATTCGTCAAAACAAAAACATAACTTCCTGTTTACATCGGTAAAACCAGGAAAATAGCTTAGCTCAGATAAGCCAATTGCCTTGGCAATTTCCCAGCCAAAAGATCACAGATCAGTGTGTTAAAACTGCGTGTTTAATCAATAAGTTGGCCCAAGGAATTTCCCGCCAAATTAGCGGCGTCTGAACTTCGCAATGCCCATTGCGGTTTTTAAGTCCGTGCGCGAGGTGAGCAGCGAGGATGCGGTGAGTACTGATCCTGTCCAGAATCCTCATATATATGGCTAAACCCTCCGCCCATTGCCAGGTGCACGGGGCCGCGAATCTGCTGAAGGAGAGCGCCGGCAGGAAGTGGCGCATCCGGTCGCCCGGCGAGAAGTCCGCCTACGTGATCCTGGAGTTCGAGGATCCGCAGCAGATCACGGGCATTGACATTGGCAACGAGCACGCCGCCTTCGTCGAGGTCCTGGTCAGCCGGACGGGCTGCCAGGCGGACGACTTCCGGGAGCTCCTGCTGTCCAGCTCCTTCATGACGCCCATCGAGAGCAAGAACTCGAGCAACCCGAACCGGGTGCGCTGCTTCAGCGGCTCCGCCTTGGCGGAGAGCGTCCTGCCGGAGAAGTGGAAGCTGCTGAAGATCGTGTGCACGCAGCCCTTCAATCGCCACGTCCAATACGGCCTGTCCTTCGTCAAGGTCCATGTGATGGCTACGCCGGCAGCAGCTCCGCCGAAGGTCAAATCCCTGCTGCCGCAGGGCATCATGCAGTTTGGGGCCTTCAAGCTGCGCGAGGAATCCCCCGACTCGGAGACGGACAACCAGGTCAACCGATTTCAGCGCTGGAAGAAGGAAACAACTGCGATCCAATCCACAGCGGCTGCCATTCGGGATGCGGGCTCCACAGCCCTGCGAAGATTGAGCACTGGCAAGGTTGCCGTTTCCAGCCTGGCTGCATCGCCTGCTCCATCGCCTGTTTCAGGATCTCCTGCTCCTTCGGATGCCAAGCCCCTGGATCGCAATCGAGCCTCCCTGCTGTTTGGCGACGATGATGACGATGAGAACGAGGCTGCCGACGAGGGGAATGCCAAGAAGCAGCGGCTGAGCAAGCATCTGGAGGCGGACAAGGATCGTCGGCGATTGGAGCAGGAAAAGGAGAGGGAGAGCAAGAAGAACAAGTCCAGCAGGCATTCCTTGGACAAGTCCACCAGTCGAGAGGAGAAATCTTCGGCGAAAGAACACAGGTCCTCCTCCAAAGAGGAAAGATCAAAGGAAAGGTCCCATTCAAAAGAGGAGAAATCGGTCAGGACGGGGGATAAATGTACTTCTAAGCATCCTGATTCCTCGAAGGCCAAGGAGAGTCCACGTCCGTCTGCACAAAAGCGTCATTCGTCGCCCACCGCAGGCGCTGCTGCTGCCACACCCGCGAAGAAACAGAAGGTCAAGGACACACCAATCCAGTATCGTCCCTTTAATCAGTTGCTAAAGGGCGTACTGCTGGTCATCAGCGGCATACAGGTGAGGAAATCTACTTCAGTTAAAACCATACTGATATTTTGCCTTCCAGAATCCCGATCGTGCCGATTTGCGTTCGAAGGCCATCGCTTTGGGTGCCAAGTATAAAGCCGATTGGGAGCCGGGATGTACGCATCTCATGTAAGTATGAAATAGGGTCATTTCTACCTTATTTCATATCAATAAAAAGCCGATATGATTTATGTCAAATTTATGATTCAAACATATCAACATGATAGTTTATCATATCAGAAAGAATACCAAATTTAGTATTTTTTGAGCAAATAATATAAAAAAAAGATTATATCATATCAAAATGATCTTTATAAAATATCAAAGTGACCATTACCATTTTTTTTCTTCTGTGTAACTTCGAAAACAATAATGCCCAATTAGATGCGCCTTCAAGAACACTCCCAAATACAATCAAGTGAGGGGCAAGGGAAAGATTGTGACACGCAGCTGGATCGAGAAATGCTATAGTCTGAAGAAGTATCTGCCCTGGCGACGATACGCCCTGGATACCAACGATTTCGGGCAGCCGGAGAGCGATGAGGAGGTGTGCGACGAGGCGATGAAGCCCAGTTCGCGACGCGAGTCCAGCGAGGATGATGTAGAAATGCTGCAGGACAACCGGGTGAAGACTACCTACGATGCTGAGGTTCCAGAGGATCGGAAAAAAGTGGATATACGTCAAGATGCCTCGTCGGGCATTGATACGGAGGATGAATTGGAGCGCGTGAAGCAAGGTAAGCTCTTAATTGCCACTCCGATTTCCACTTGCCTCTCAAATATCCATGGTAACATCCTCTAGAGAACAACGCCAGGAAGACCAAACCTAAGACTCCGACAAAGACCAAGTCGAGTGATGTTTACGATGCTAGCACAGATGAAGAGGAATATCTGGTGCTGAAAAAGAAGCAGATAACCTCTGTCGATTGAGTTCTATTTGTAATCTCATATCTTTCGTATACCTCTATATGTTTAAATTGTATGTAAGTCTCGAATTCTTGGGTTCTGTAGAACTGTTTCATTACTTAAATATCTTAAGAAAATCGACGAGTTCAAAATGTGTTTGTTATAACATCCTTAAAAGATTGAAGACATTTTTTTTGTTTCGGCTTGGACCGCTTTCAATAAAACTTACAAAAAAATAACGTTAAATTGGTTGGTTTTTATTTTCTTGACCTTTTACTTTGTAAATATACAATAAATATATAATAATAAAATTAATAAAAGTCCTTCGAAGCGTGTGTGTTTTAAAACTATCGAATGTTTATTTGAGTAGGGTTCAACATGCCTATCGAATAAGCTCATCTCTAGCCTAATGAAACAGTCCATCTCTATCAGGAGTACCAAAAAAAATGTCCTAACGGATTATTCAAAATTCTAAGGATTGCTGACCAATAAGTATGCTATAAAAAGTGGTGCCAACCCGTTTTTAACCCCTAAAAATATGCTTTAAAAATAAAAAAAAACAATTTTCAACCCTCGGAAAACAGGTGGAAAAGCAACAGCTGTCTGCATTTGACAGCTGCGCTCTCAGCGCTCTCACTTTTCGCCTTTACCTGGCTCTCTCATCCGAGTTACTGGTGAAAAACTCTCTCTTTCGTCCACAGTCGTGTATTTGCTGTCGAGCGAGTAGAGAGCACCTTTTGGGAGTTTATCAAACCAACACTATTGTTTATTTACGGTAAATATCTATGGGTACCACTAGGAATCCTTCAATGGGCATTACCCAAGCTTCTCGGCCATCGCTGGGCATCCGAAAACGGTTTCTTGGCCGAAAATTCCCCATCTTTGCTGAAGCGGAATCGCGGGACGAGAAGTGAAAATCCGTGGAAATTTGGAAAATCGATACGATTGAGCCATAATTAAAAGTATGCTGATAACTGGCACTCCCCCCTTTTCTTTATAGAGTGTGTCAGTCGTTGGAAAATTAGGAGATTGAACGCCACAGAAACCTCCGGAGACCCAAAGCACAGGTAAACTGTCGTTCTATACACGCAGAGAAAAAATGCCAGCCAAATCGGTTTCATATCGAACTTAATTTCTATGGTTAATATTTTGTTATATCAATTTAATCTTATATTTTTTTTTATTAAATCAAAGTATTAATCATAGAAAATAATTCCAAAAACAAAGGCTTCTAATGACAAATGAAGTATCAAAAATTACCATTTATATAACTAAAATACTAAATATAAACTATGAGTAGTTTATATACTGAATATCAAGGTTATCTTGTTTTTATGATCTGTGTATAACAGCGGTCGGCACACACATACTTTGACATTTTGTTTTAAATTTGTGTGAGTAATTTACACTGGCAGCTCATCGATGTGTGCGTGCAGACCGCTGTTCTACAGTGTACGTGAGCGAGCAGCGGCTGGGCAGAACGAAACCCTATGCTCATTTAATAGGACGCTGCCGACCGCTGGTGTATAAAGACTCTCACCTATTAATATAAAGATTTTTTGTAAATCTCATTTGGTTGTTGATTTTTCTCTGCCAAAAAGAAGAAGGTATTCAATCATTTACGATGTCCTTTTCCGCAGATCCAGCCCAGAGAATTAACCAGAGGCCAACATGGGTAACGAGACCTCCCTGCCCATGGACATGTGCTCCAACTTCGATGCGGACGAGATCCGGAGACTGGGCAAGCGGTTCCGCAAACTGGATCTGGACAATTCGGGGGCCCTGAGCATAGATGAGTTCATGTCGCTGCCGGAATTGCAGCAGAATCCGCTCGTTCAGCGGGTGATCGACATTTTCGATGCGGATGGGAACGGGGAGGTGGACTTCAAGGAGTTCATCCAGGGAGTATCGCAGTTCAGCGTTCGCGGCGACAAGCTGTCCAAGCTGCGATTCGCATTCCGGATCTACGACATGGACAACGATGGCTACATCTCGAACGGGGAGCTCTTCCAGGTGCTCAAGATGATGGTGGGCAACAATCTGAAGGACACACAATTGCAGCAGATCGTGGACAAGACCATTTGCTTTGCGGACAAGGACGAGGATGGCAAGATATCGTTCGATGAATTCTGCTCGGTGGTGGGCAACACGGATATCCACAAGAAAATGGTTGTCGATGTCTAAGGGCCCACAAATATACAAATATGCATGCATACATCTATATAGTAGGATTCCAAGAAATGAGTGTGTGTGTGTACCTCTTCCCTTCCTTACTTCCTTCAAAAACCTGTTCAGCTTTATAATAAATGGTCGGTCTGCGAGTCTGTGAGGGCGTGTTTTTGAGGCGTGCCAAAAACGAGGCAGTTTATTCGATTTATTGATACCTACCTATCGCATATAGTACTCCCCGTACACCCCGTACACCCAAACCTGATCGATTTCTCATCCTCAGAATGCAATGAATTGTGTCTTAAACTCATACTTGAAACCACCGGCAACGGACCACTCACACTATAAACTCATCTCTCCCACGAAGCATTACTTTCTGGTACTTTTCCCATACGACTTAGGATCGCTCGCATCATATTAAACTAGTTTGTACTATATCCTAACTCTACGTTCAATTCAAGCCTAACACTTAAGTTCATCTCTCGACTAAATGTTGTGTATAAGATATGTAAAAAAAAAAACAAAATGGACAAAACTACAACTACTATTAAACACTGTTTATCGAAAAGCTAAACTAAAAAACCCCAAACACGCGTCTTTTATTATTTCGTTTATTGGGTGAAAGTGGGCTGGGTTCTTTGGCCCGCAGGCAGATGTCCTCGAGTCCTTCGGTCCGCGAGTCCTTGGACAAAAAACACGTGCGTGTCTCTCAGCTCGTCTCCCAGAGCTCCCGAAATTCCGAAATCCCCCAAACCGAACCACCCAAAAAAAAAAAAACAAAAAAAAACCGTCACCACACAACAATAAAAAATAGGAGAAAACCACTAGCCGAAGGCAACCGAAAACTTTTTGGCCGTTGGCAACGATTAAATGTTTTGTAGGTCACCGATTTTCCAACTGCTCGTGTATGTGTGACATCCCTCATGTAAGGTGTAATACACTAGAAGAAAATGATATCTCAAGAAAAAGACAAAGTTCTTATGGTGTGAACTTTTTCATAAATAATAATTTCTTGATTTCTTTTGATTTTTTTCTTTGTTTATAATTCAACTTAAATATTCAAATTAAATAAAGTTGTAGCCATATTTAAGTATTTTTATTTTAAAGCTGTGACAAAAATTACATTTCAAAAACAGGGAAAATGCTTTTACTATTTCCAATGACATTTTTATTACGTATACGCCCCATTGTTCAATGATATTTGCTTGTACTATTTCCAATTACATTTTTATTACGTATACGCCCCATTGTTCAATGATATGTGAATTTTTTTGATATTCAGATTAAACGATACAAATAATTCTTGTCAAAATTTTCGTATAATCAAAACAATCTCGATTTTCTTCTAGTGAGTTTTCCGATGATCGAAATCAACTGGATTTTCTTCGAGTGCCAACAGGAAGCCAGCCAACTAGCTGTTGGGTCCTCGGAGAACTTGTACGGCAACAGAGCCTTGACCACGGAGTCACCTACTGGGCTAGTGGGCTACTGAATTACTGAGCTCGGGAGGTCCTGCGAGGGTCCTTTGTGTGTGTGTGCGTGGGTGTGTGCGAGAATGCGTGAGTGTGTGCCTGGTATCAATAAATTATTATATGCTGTCTGTCGCAAGCTGGTTCGTTAATCATTTTCGCCTGGGCCCTGGCCACCCAGACCTCCAAATGAAGGCATTTCCATTTTGAAAATTAGTAGGGTTAATGCTGGGGGTAGCCTCCCACCCCTGGCCCCTAATTTCGCCCCTGTTGCTGCGTCACAAGCCCACGGCTGACCTTTTTCCTTTGGTATTAATTGGTTTGATTAATGTGCTCCAATTTTCGGATGGTACGTAACTGCGCCAGGCCCCAATAATCGGGCATTTCCTTTCCGACTCGCGTCTATCATTTTCTCGATTTTCTATTATTATTTTTGTATTTTTTGGGTGAAGCAGCAGGACTTTTTATCATATTAATCGATGGGACAGATACAATTTGTAACTTTCGATGGGTTTTCAGACAGGTAATATATCTTCTGAGATTGCCCAGTTATGATAAACTTTATCCCAATTATCAGATCTACCAGTATTTAATTTCCTAACTAATTATTGCAAGCTCCACATACATTTTCGATGTCATCTGGTATTAATTAAGCACGGAAATCTAAAAGACACATCTTGTCATAAACCTTATTGATTCTTTTGGCTTCGTTTATTTTTGGAAACCTTTTTTTCGTTGGGCCCTCAAACTTATTTCGCTTGAATAACTTTGTTTCGGAGGCAACTATTTAGTCAAAAGGCTTTTTATAAATTATGTACAACAATTCCCCCAATTTTAATGGGTTGGTTGAGCAAAGGGGGGAATAACTTGGTTCCCTTAAACACAAATCAATATGCCCTATATATATATGTATAAATATGTGTGTGTGTGAAATGAAGTTTGGACAGGTAAGGGATATCGTATAACCTCAAAACGAAATTGTCAGCTTTTATTCCGTATATTCCTTTGCCGACCGGAATCTCTGGGTTTAACACAGATCCCATTGGCTCTGGCATTAGTTTTTCGATGCCCACACCCACCTGGGGAAAAATAAAAGCTTTTTAGTTTATGTTGCTTGTTTTGGCGTTGTTTTCTTTTCTGTTTTTTTTTTGGGTTGTTGTGTTTTTGCCATAATAATCGCGGCATTAAGTCAAAAGCGGGCCTGCAAAAACAAATGCCAAATCAATGTCCATGTGTGTGTCTCCCATTGACAGTTGAGGTCAACATTCTAGTTAACATGGTTCTTAAAAAGGTGTACATATATAACAAGAATTCTTTTAGAACAATTAATCAATATTTAAGTATTAAAATAAATTTAAAAAAGGCATAATATCGAAAGTTTTTTATTAGACAACGTATCTTATTTATTTTTATATTTTAAATAAATTTTAAAAAATGGTAAAATATTATTTAATTAAAAATTAAATCATCTGCCGAGAAAGAAGTAAAAGGATTGTACCTACATATATATTTTATTGTTGCTCATCAGTGTTTTGTGTTTATTGGTTAGTTAACTTTTTTAATTGGCCATTTCTATAATTTCGCCCCCAATTGTGCGTGTGTGTGAGTGCGCTTGAGTGGCATGTGTGTGAGTGTGTGTTTGTATTGTGCGATAAAAGTTGACTCGTGCCAGTTTCGAGCTGTAACCGAAAACGCATACAAAACAAAAAGCGGCAAAAGCAAAAACGCGGAAGAATGGTAAAAGGGAAATATACAATGTGAATGGGAATTACAAAAAAACAAGGCATCAACAACCACCGTTAGCGCCAAGCGCCAAGCGCCAGGAGCGTTCTTTCCTCTCTCTCTCTTCCCCGCCATTCGCTTCCATCTGTTCCCGCCCACAGAGTCATAAATTCACCATTACCACGCAGCTACCTCAACAGTGCACCGCCCTCCCCGCCGCCATAGGGACGCCCTTTGACCCACTGAACCGCCAACCCACCAACCCACCAACCCACCAACTCCCCCCATTAAAGGTGGCAGCAAACAAACGCCGGTGACGCAACGGAACTCTGGAGACCCCGATTCCGAACCCGAATCCGAATCCGAATCTGAATCCGAATCCAAAACCGAGTTCGAGAGCGAGGAGTTGAAAACAGAAAGACACGAATACGAATACGAATGCGAATAGGAAACCGACTACCAGGGCCGGACCTGAACCTGACCCACTAACCCTTCGAATTAGAGGCAGCGATCCCAGGTTCCAATGGGAATTCAAAAAAAATATATACATAAATACACGCAAAAAGTTATTAAAACATTAAGCATTTGCATTGTACAATAGTAATTAAAAAAAAAAAAACAAAAATCTATTAAAAGTCATCATTATTAGTAATATCAATTACACATTAAATATACTCTTTAAATATCATTTTACTTTAAATCTTTCAGCTCAAATGGTTAGGATCTCAAAACGTATGTTTTAATAAAACGTTAATTTTTAATCATTTCAAAGCTGTTTCATTTGCATTTAAACTTGATCCCTAGGTCTAAACATCTTAAGGTCAATGTTAAGTGCTTTTTGGCCGCCATCTCATACTCTCGTAAACTGAAATGTGGCAGTAAAACTGACAAGTGCCGAGGCACTCTAATGAATTTAATGGATACTTACAGCTCAACCAGAGCATAAGAAAATGGCCAGTTGGGCTCTAATCTTCCATTTCAGTTTCAGTTGATCCAACTGTAATTAGGTTAATATTCGTAATTCCCCGACTCAAATAAACCGTAAAATGTGTTGAAATTAAATAAAATGTGTCACGAAAAAATGTTTAACTTAATTTTAATAGGGAGCAAGTTGGATAATTGGTTGAAAATTAATGGTATATCATATTTCGTAGAGTTCTTTTGGTATTATCTAATTATTCCGCTCCTGTAGATATCGGAAACTTTAACTTCGAGACCGATTTAAACTCTGACTCCATTTCTGTTTCCATTTTCGATTCCGATTCCGAGTAGCGACTCCCGATTCCCGATTCCCGATTCAGTTGCCCTGGCTCTGCATGCACTCAACGAAGTGTCTTTATACTAGTATGCTGTTTTTTTGCGTTTCGGGGCACAAAAGTGGCAAGTGTGGTTCAGTGGCGTCGTGGGGAGTTCGCTGCAAGGGGGTTGGTTAGGTAAATCACGTTTAATATATGACCAAGCCAAAAACATAACATTAACTACCAAAATATTACGTATACGACAAGTAAGCCGAGTTTTTCCTACATCTCATCAGACAGTTCTGCAAGTTGTATGCTATATCAATTAAAACTAAATGATGTATAAATTATTGAATAAGCTTACCTTTTTTTGTTATTTTTGAAGGCCTGATTTTTTTTAATGTAAGTTGGCTTTATTTTTTATAATCCCTTCTTTATAAGTTTGACAACCCCCTTGTTTCTTTATCATTATTATTCGTTTTACGTGATGAAATGTAAGCGTTATTGGTTTTTAGTTAGGAGTTTTGAAAGTTGGAATCTAAAATTAGCATACCTTTAGGGGTTCTTCCCTTCCGAACGTACACAAAAACCAAACTTTTTCACACCCTCCACCGCCCCTTCGCCCCCTCAAAAGACAATGTTAACTGTCGCCGCCGCTGGACGGACTAAACGACTACCCGCCCCCACAAGTGCGACAGAGAGGCGAAGAGAAAGTGGGGGGCCTGGGGGCGAAAGGGAGAGAGCGACTGGGCGACCGAACGACCGAACGACAAACCGACCGACAGCCGAGCGGAGAGAAAGAAGCAGAAGCAGAAGCAGGAGGAGAGCAAGGGAATGCCGACGAATGCTATATACACGGTGCCGAGCAACAAATTGAGTCAGTATCGCACAAACAACACTAACGGAAACATCAACGTGAAAGCGAGACGGACGCCCTCCGTCCCGTTATATGCTGTGTCTGTCTGTCTGTCTGTGTGTTGAGAGTTCTACGTCGCGCACTCCAAAAAAAAAAAAAAAAAAAAAAAAAATCAAAAACTTTAACACTCGCATACACACTGGCACACACAAACATACACACACATACAGTAAGGTGGAACAATCAAATACAACAGCTTCAGGTGCTAGAACAACAACAGTCAGCCAAAGAGAAGATGAAGCCAAGAAAAGAGAGAAGATGAGAGTGTGATCATAAGTCAAGGAGAGATCTTAAGCAGAGAGAGCAGCTTAGGGCCTTTGTGCACGACAAAAGTTCTCAGAAAACTTTCGAGATTCGAACTTAAGTTGTTAGTTCAGCTAATAACAATAATAAATTAAATATTTAAGCAGACAAACTCCGATCGTGTAGAGAGGCCTTTGGAGCAGCAGAGAGCAGGATCGCCATCCATCGGCTTAGTTTAAAGCCCAAACCGTTACTTTGAGCGCAAGAGAGTATAAGTAGCTTTGCCAAATGTAATCAGTTATCGGTGCTTTGAACTCCGGAAAAGTTTCCCACAGTCCCCCAAAAAGAAAGTAATAAAATATTAAGACAGGACCAGAATAGACAGGCACAGATGCATCCAAAGAAAAATCAAATAAAAACCCGTAAAATAGTTCAAATTCGACAAGCGGTGGAGTTGAATGCTCTTCGTTCGTTTTTCGTTGTCGTGGGTGTCGTACACACATAAATATATACGTACATATATATATATACAAAGATGCCTGCCCATCTATATATAAACAATATATATATCTATATTTTTTTTCTTGTTATTCTATAGTTAATATATATAGTTAAAAAAAAATTATATACAAAAAGAAAAGAAGTGCAAGAAAAATAAGCGCCCACTGCGGCCAATGGAAATGCCAAAGAAAATGCAGCAGCAACAAATTCGACAACAAACGCAAATTCTACAGCAACAACAACAACAACAAGCACAGCCACAGCAGCAACAACTGCAGTTCCCCAATACATAGGTCCACCGATTTTCCGTCTTTGTCGCGCGCGTTCACACACACAAACACAGTCACACACTGGGACACATGCATGTGCATAAATGGCAATATGGACGAAGAGCAGCAGCAGCATTTGCCTTGTATTGGTATACCAGCACAGTGACACGCGCGTGCCAAATATTGCCGATTTTATCACACGAACAACAACAACAACAACAACTGCAACAACAGCAACACCAGCGGGACCAGCTATTAACTAAAGGAGCCATTACAACAACAAAGACCATAGCAACAACAACAAGAACAACGAACATTGCTGGAAGGCGTCGCAAAATATCAAAGTGGGTACCACTACTACTAAGAAAAACTACACAAATAAAAAAAATATGAAGATCAATTTGATATTCATCGGTTTAATGGATTAATCAAAAAAACAAGATGGCTACCAACATTGATCTGTCTTATTTCGAATATTGTGTTACTGTTTTCATTTTCTCGTAAAAGTAATAAATATACCATATACATATATATTTCATGAAAATAAGTATAATTCTATATAACTTTTTTTTTATCGGTGTACTGCAACTGCAACAAAGATAGCATATTTACTAACACTCGCACACACCGCCTGCACTTTCACACCCACAAACACACACTCAAACTCGAAACTTGGCATACCAACACGAACGACAATAACTGTAACCAAAGTGCAAGCAGCAGCTGAAAAGGACAAAAGGGCAAGGGAAACAGGAGCGAAAAGGAGGAGCAAGAGGAAGAAGGAGGAGGAGGGAGCGAGAGGGAAGGCTAAATGAGTTATGCGTGCACATTCCTCAACTCACAGCTGCAGTTGGCCACTCACACACACACACACACACTTGTACATACGCACTGAGAGAAACTTCCTGCCAAAACTTATAATTATCACAAACTTAAAAGATTCCGAAAAACACATCCATGAGAAGGAAAGGATAAACCAAACGACAAGTACTAAAGCCAATTAAAAGTTAAAAGCTTTTCCTATAAGTAAAGGTTCTTATTTCTGTCTTATTTGTTTTAAGTTGAAAGCTTAGATAATACAATTTATCATCTTAAGACATTACACATACTTAATTAGGAGTAAGTGAGGTTAAAGGTGAAGAGGCAAAACAGTTTTGAACTTGATAAAAGGCTTTGAAATACCATTGCTTTGTAAAATCCAGAAATTAATGTCCTAATTACCAGAGAAGTTATCCTTCCTAAAGGTCTGTTTCAATAACTGTCTTAAACTTTGTATTAGTTACTTTTATAGTCCCTTAGACTTACTTCTTCCCCTTTCATTAAATCGAAGTAATTAGAAACTCCCCACAACTTTATACAACTTCTAAAATTACCCACTGAACTAATTAAAAACTTACCAAATCTAGGAAACCTAAATGAGAACCAAAAATTGCCCATAAACAAACTTTAAAGTGGCCGCAATCTCATAAATAAATCAAAATCCTTCCTGCTATGTTAAATATTCCCAAAAATTGTCTGAAGCACAGCGAGAGGGCCCAAGCAAAAGTTTTGTTCGTAAAATTAGTCCAAGTTGGCATACCGACAAGGGCTCAAATAGATTTTCGGACGACTCCAACCCCACAAAAGCGCGGCCCCAACAACTGTCTATTAGGTACATACATATATTTTTTTTGATGCTGGAATGAAAGAACGGGAGAACGGGATTCAAGTGCGGAATACTTGACATTTTTGCTCTCCGTGCAGTATATGCAGATTAGGCCAAGTTGGCTGAGCAACCAAACCGCAAACCGCAACCGAACAAGTACGAACAGGAGCTTTCGAGAGCTGTGCAATCAAAGGAAGGACCTCAAGGAACCCAGCACAGGACCAAAGAAATCCGTATCCGAAGCATGGACCCGTTGTAACTGGCTAGCAAGCGGTGGTCATGCAAATGCATAAGGATTAGTCCCCGAAAAACGGAATATGAGATTCTACTTCGACTTTCAGTCATCCCCAACCAGTAAAACAATGAGACCCCGTCACCGTACTTTCATCCACCCCCCCCCCATTTTCCCGCTCCCCTTTGATGCACATGGAAAATTCATGAAGAGCCAAATTGAGTTTGTGGTCGAACCCAAAAACATAACTAAAAATAAATTATTGAGTACGAGAGGGGCAACTTTAAGACCATTCGGGGGGTTTGAACTTTAAGCTGAACTTTGTGCTGAACTTTTTACAACGGAAATTGAAAGCATGGTGAATGGGACAATTACTGGAATTGGGTCAGTAATTGAATGCAAGCTTTGTAATGGCTGTGCCATTTTAAGCCGGACAATTAGAAATTGCTTAATAGCTCTTTTAGTTTGTAATTTAAGTCATTAAATTGAACTGAAAAGATTAGTTTATAAAAATGGAAAAGAACTGTCTCATTGGTTACAAAAATACTTCTTTACTTTAGATCTACATAAAAACCATTCTCTACAAAAATAAGCCAAAATCCCGAAAAACACTTTGATCTAGGGCCAGTTTTCTTTGCCCTACCATAAGCCAAATTTGTTAATAGCTCTTTTATTGTCTCGAAAGGCACTAAAACGGAAAGTTCCTCGCATCAAAATCATTGTTAATTACCCATCGCTAAGCAATGCACACAAAAAACCAAACCCCAATTAGGCATTCCTTGTTTTTATTGTAAATAACAGAGATCATAAGCCCCGATGTACATAAATATACATATATACCACTATACTATACTGCTACTATTGTAAATAGAATGTCAATTGTGTTTATTTCCCAACCTATTATCCAAAAATACATCAAATAAACTTTTTTGAACTGAAAACACAAACATTTTTACACTTTTTCCCCTGAAATTTCGATTTCGTTTGGTTTTTCTGCTCATTTTTTCCTCTTTTAGTTTCTTTTTTTGCAACTCATTTCATCTGGATGTCGCCGTTTTCGCTTTCGCTTTCTATGCGTTGCGATGCGAGATTTCCCAGCTATATATATATATTTATCTATCTATCTCGATGCACTTGTATATGTTTTCTTTATTTTTTTTCGGGAGCGATCGTGTTGAATGTGAAATATGTCTGACATGTAGGAATTTGCCATAAATAGACCTGAGATCCCGAGATGCCAATCCCGATTCTTGGTGGCTTTGCCCAGAAATATATGTAGATATATCTCTAAACAGGAACTCCCATTTAATCTGTCCCCTGGGAATCTTAAGTAGCCTCTTGTTTAGCTAACGGGCTAATGGAAAATTGCATTCTTCTCCCCCAACCCGAGGTCCCAAATCGAATCTTGATTTATTTCGGTTAATCTTTTGAGTTTTAAAAGTCGTCACCCTGCCGCCTGCCGCCTTTCGCTGATAGCTTTTCCCCAAAGTCCCCTGTCGAATGGTTAATGACCAGAAAAGCGAGCAAAGTGAGCGTAATTAATGGAAACTGTAATCAATCATGCGCTCCAATTAACCGACCCATCCCGTCCAATATTCTTGATATTCTTGTCGGATGTGGGACTGCAGAGGTGGGATATATATCAACCTCCCCCCGTTCCTTTCTGCTCTCTTCTGTTTCCTCCTAACTGAATGCTAATGGCAGTGAGCGGGGAGGCCCCATTCCGGCCCGTAATGACACAAAAGCGGTCCTGGTGTACATTTCAAAACTCATTACGATTCACTCACTCGACGTCAGCGAGGGCGTACTATATACGTATATCTTGATATATATACGATGCGTATGTATAATGATATATGTCTGTGGTCATAGCCGACGAGTCATCATCTCTGATTTCTTAATTTTCGCGTTCCCCTTCAATGAGTTCCATATTTCAGTATTTTTCTTTTGTTTTCCATAAGGTACTTGGCCTTTTTCGGGGAACTCGAAAAGTTAATTATTCGTATGTGGCACGCTTTAATGGCGAATTTTTCGGAATTGAGGTTGCTTTGATTTGTCTTATTATTAAATAAATAATCGTATGGATTGGTTTTTATTGCTGGTTTTTAAGCAAGCATTTTAATTCGTAATTTAAAAGGCTTCTTCTTTTATCAAATTCTCTTTATAAATTACGAATTACTGTCCCCAATAAATGCCAATCCAAATGCAAATTAGATGGTTAACTGACATTTTCCAGCCGCAATAATTGCTTGTTGTAATAAGTTGGCTTTCCTGATTTTCGGATAACTTATCGGCCGAAACATCCATAAATATTGGCATTAATTTAGCTTGTACATTGATAAAAAAAAGAGCCAATGGCCAAAAGGGAAAAAAAACACATCGTTATCTCGTTATCGATAATTAATTCAGCCAAGCAAAAAGCACTTGAGTCTCGACCTTAGTCTCTTTCACTTCGCCACTTGAATTCATGAATATCGAGAACTTTGTTTGGAGGGCTACTTTTTCGTGGGGTCCGTTCGGTCCTCCAGTAAATCCCTACCAAAAATTCAATGCTCCTCAAGATTGCTATTCATAAAAATCGCCAGAGAAAGCTTGCGTCTTTTATTCATATCGATAATTGTTTGAACAATTTCGGTGAATACCAAGAATGAATTCATCGATTGCCTTCGGCCTTTCCCTCTTCCTTTTCGTTTTTCGCTTCTTTTTTTTTTGGTTTTTGTCTCCTTTTTTCTTTCTTGCGCTTCATTTACGTTCGGGTCCTGGGGGCGTAGTGGCCAAAAGGGGGAGTGGCAATCGAGAGGAGACCAGAGGACCCTTATAACCTTTCACCTCGATTGGACCGGGATGTTGGTGGGTGAGTATTTCACATTTGCTGATTTTTGACGCGTCCATTTACTGTTGATTGATTTTGTCTTTACACTGAAAAAATATATTCTTGATTTTAAAACATAAAATAACAACATATTTAAGTGATACAAAACGTAGAAATGTTTATGAATGAAAGAAATTTCTTTTTGGTCTCTTTTCATTGCAGTGATTTTGTATAATATAAAATCCATATAGCTGCATGTGTGAGAGTTGTGGTTGCATCTACTTAAAAATACATTTATTTTTGCGGCTTACATTGCGCGAGGAGACATGGAAATTGATCAAATATTTATACAGTTTGCATAGTCAATTTACATAAGTCCAGCTGTGTGGGTGTGTAAGTGATTTTCCCCGAGTGTTTTGTGGGTTTTAGTGTGTTTGTTAACCGCACCTCCCCACCACCACCCACTTTCCATAACCTTGTCCGCCGTTTGTCCGTTGTGTCCGCCGTGTGTGTGTGTGTGTGTCTAGCCTTGTCCTGTCTCATCAATGTCAAAGCAATGAACCCGAATATCCATATTGCCAACGCTTCGCTTATTCAATTTCCCCGTCTGTCTATCCAACTGAATTTCCCCCGACTTTCCCCGTGGCTAATACCC